CCCATCCGACCCGGTACTGCTAAATTTGAAACCTGAAGCCAGGCCGAACAAACTCACACGCACAGAGATTACCACAGACACATTTACAGTGCTTTGTTCTGAAAGTAGAAACAGAAAATGCCATGCTGAGATGAACAATTTTACACTGTAAGACCATAACAGTGTCCACCCCCCTCTGATCAGCTGTTAGCCCCGCTGCGCTAAAGTTCCTCGCGCTACTGCTGTTACGGGTGGGAAATCCTGCCAAAGGAGATATTATAAAATGCAAATGTAAATGTAAAACCTCTTTTTGCCATTTCTTTTTCCAAGCATCTGCGCAAATATCCTGCCAAAATTGAAAATGATTTTGCAATTACGTTTATCACATTTTCACATTAGTCATTTGCAACAAAAAGTCATTTCATTTTAGTCGTTATTCTGGGATTTCATGGTCATATCTAAAATGGAAAAGCTAATAAAGAATCTGGCAAAATGAAAATGCAAAATGGATAAATCAACCGCAAAGTGACAGTTTTGCGGTTCAGTTTTTGGCGTGGACTTGTTTTAATAAGTGTCAGAATAAAAACAGAAACAAACACAGGTGCCATCTGCTGGCGATTTACTTTTCATTTCCCACTTTGCTTTTTCGTTTTTCAAATTAACCAACATGTAAATGTATGAAAATCACGCTGCACAGTTATGACTGATTCACTCTTATTGAAGTGGAGAACGCAGAACGCTTTCTGCTCAGGGGTCTCATCTCGTCTCAGACTGAAGGGAGCCATCTTCCGGTGTCAGAAACTCTTTGACCTCCTCTTTCAGTTGGTATGTGATTGGTTCCTAGGCGCCTCACGATTGTAAAAATATAGCGCTTTGAAATCGGATTAATCTTTTTGAATCACCCTGTATTTGTAAACTGAATTCAGGTGCTGTAGAGAAGAAAATTAGCTTGTTAAAAAAACAAACAAAAAACACTAACCAGTGCGCCATGCAGAGTCTGGACACCGTGTCTGACTCAAATGCTACTGTTTTAACCAAGCACCTCCAAGGTCTCTTGCCCTATAGGTCTGTGTGCTGATGACGTCCCCAAAGTGTGATTTGCAGGGCTTAGGGTGCCGTTTGGGACAGAGCTTGTAACATCACTAGACAGACAGAGGTTGAGAGCGAGAGAGTGAGCAGACGAGATAAACTGCTTGAGAGTTATCAAAGTTTTGTAGCCACATTCCTTCAGATAAAGAAATCACTCATAAGAAAAGAAATCCAAGCTCAACCTATGTTGTGCATGAGAAATCGAATCAAACCTTGCCCAAAGCCCAATATTCCATGTAATTCGGCCCGTGCCATGGAAAAAGATTCTTAGCACACCAGCACTGAATGACCCAACTGAGAAGTGCTGCCATGTTACTGGAAAATAATTTTTCCAGTAACAACACTGAACAGTAACATAATATCCATAACATGTAGTGAAACTTCCTTAAAGCAACATATAAGTAAAGGGGTATTAAGTATCCTTGGATCCAGCTGTGAATAATTGAAACTGGCAGTTGGCAGGGAGTCTGCGCTGCAGTATCTCCTGTGAGATTAGATAAAGAGATCTGGATAGCAAATTGAGCAAAGCTATAAAACTGTTGTCGTGTCTTTTAAACTCACTTCTGAGGGTCCTGTTTGCACAGACGGGCATGTGAACAGAGATCCTTTGTTGCTGCCTGCCTTGCTGCTGTAAACACACTTTAAGTGGTGCTCACTAGACTGGGTGACTGCCTTCACCTGCACGCTTGTTTGCCTGTATTTCAGACCATATAAAAGGAGTCTTTATTTTTCTAATTTATGGTTAAAGGCTAATCTCGCTGAGCGAGACTGCCATAGCTTATTATAATCCTATTAGTACCTGGTGTGTTTTCTCATGGGGCGTTTTTCCATCGACTACACCAGAACCATTAACTTGGTTCCAGCGTCTTGGCTGTGTACCAGTAGTTACAGTACCTGACAGTCAGAGAGAGAGAAAGAAATAGGCAAGTGGCATTTTTTGGAGAGAATTAAAATTTTGGTCGAGGGTAGTTGCTACACACCCAAAGAAGATGGTTCTTCAAGGGTTTTTAAGTGAAGAAAATGGTTCTATTTAGAACCATGAACACTCAAAGAACAATCAATAGCACCAAAAAGGGTTCTCCTATTGTTACAAGCTTGACACTGTAACAATGGAAAAACCCTTTTTGGTGCTATATAAAACCCTTTTCAAAAACCATTTCATGATGCGACTAACCCTTTAATCATTCAAAGGGTTCTGTGATTGTGCATGGTTCTATATAGAACCATTTTCTTTACTAAAGAGCCCTTGAAAAACCATCCTTTCTAGGTTCAGTTAACTAATAGCATTTGTCTATAGGTATTGTGCACTTACAACTGGGGTGCACCATGTCCCCCAGTGAATGGGGAAAACTGAATTATCAGTCTGATACTGGAACTACAACCAATAGTTACAGCTGATAACATGACATGATCGACAGTTGATCAGTTGAATGACGTATTTGATATTGTCCTCCTTCGCTTTCATATCCAGGCACCCCCTTGCCGCAGGAATAGTCTGATTCACTTGTGCATTGAGTTTGATTTCTTGGTACTCTTTTGCTGCATGAGGCATCATTGAAAATAGTGATGGCATACAAGTCTGAAACAAAGGGAATAAGATACTTTATCCAGCTAAAAATCAATTTCCTTGGGTCGATTTTGACCCATCCATACCACAGAGTTTAGCACAGTTTGTATTTCTTATCCTAACAAAAACAGAGCAATGCCATTTATAGAAATTAGTCACTAGGTTGAAAAATCCCTCTGTGATGTCCTTTATGGGAGAAAAACGCCGCTCACTCATCAGTGGCACTGAACACTCATCCACGGCAAATATATACAAGTCAAGTCAAGTCAAGGTTTATTTATATAGCGCTTTTTACAACAGGTGTTGTCACGAAGCAGCTTTACAGAAAAATCCAGGTCCAAGCCCCCATGAGCGTCGCCAATGGCAACAGTGGCAAGGAAAAACTCCCTAAGAGCAAGAGGAAGAAACCTTGAGAGGAACCAAGACTCAAAAGGGGAACCCATCCTCCTCTGGTCCACACCGGATAGCAAACTGCATTAGTATTAAATATTTGAATTAAAATATAGAATATTAGAATATATATATTAGATTAAACAACAGTTTGTTCCAGCCAAGCAAGCTGATTGGTTGAGAGGTGTTCTATCCGTGCTGTTATTTCACCATAACATCACGGGTTTTTCACAAACACTGTATCACTCCGCTGAGACGCCGTTGCTAAGCAACGACTTTGATGGTTGTAGGAGATGCTCAAGCCATTTGAACCTTTTTAGTTCTTACTTTGCCACAAACAGAAAATTGGATACTTTTAAGATCACATTTGACCGACAGCCGATTTGGTCAGACTCTGAAGATGAGACGACACTAAATTCCCAAACGGTCAGTTGGTCTGTGTGGAGCTGGAGAAAGAACTGCCGGCTGTGCAGCGAGTGGGCGGAGCTCGTTACTCTGACGTAGCAACAAGCTGCTTGTTAAGGAACTATAATTTGGTGAAGGAACTGCGAACATTAAAACATATTAAACGCCGCATTCACGGCCCAGTTTATTAATGTATTACTTTATTTATTTAACTGTTGTATAAAAGCGATAGAACACTCGAGGTTGTGTGTTATCACAATAACATCATGACCGTGATGATCTACGGCGACCAAATCACAGCCGTGATGTTATTTTGCGATTACACACTCCCTCTCGCGTTCTATTGCTTAAATATACAACTGTAGTTATAATTAATAATACAGAAGACACACATGCATGCCTCCCATACTCTCCCTCTTTCTCTCCCACGAAAACCTTTTTTATTTTAAGAGAAAAGCACAAATTTGTTTGGGACAGTAAATACTCTGTTTGGGACAGTGAATCAGTCCACTTGCCCAGTTAAGCATGTTGAGTAAAAAGTTTGTGTTGAACCCTGGATATCGCTGCTGTCGGAAGAAAACCTCATATCTCCATTTTTGTCGTTTTTCAGTTTTTGACATAATTTGAAAATGTTTGTTGCCCTTTACACTGTGTGTAAATTTCATGATGAATGGGCCAAAGAAAACAGGCCAAAATGACTTGGAAAGAATTCTGGTTCCATTGACTTACATTAAAAGTAAAGTGTGTTTTTTTCCTTCTCCTGTAAAGTTACCATTTTGGAGATACAAGGTTTTCTTACAACAACAGCGATGTGTAACTGCCCCTTGAATGACAAGAGTCACTGTTACACTCCACTACTACACCCCTCTGGCCCCCAGCAGCAGCCCAGCTTTCCGAGCAGTGCTCATCGGCATACTAAACATGGTTTGGGGGCATTGTGCTCTTGTTTGCCAAAAATAGCCTGCTGTCCTTGGAAAGCTGAGGGGTCCAGGTCTGCGGGTTCAGGCCAGCGGTCTCTGGCTTTTGGCACTTAAATTGTAGTACTTATCACTGTTGCTGTGGGGCAGTTATAAACAGTCAGGACTTTTTCCAGTTTGATGGCCAGGTTTGGTGCAGCCTTTGTATCAGATTTAATGTAGATCCCTGGTGTAATTTGAGGTGAAACTGAAGGCCAAAATATTTACTGTCAGACCAAGGCATTTTAAATCAGTAATGCCCATCAAATGGTACCCTGTTGAGTCATTGCAGCTTGCAAATTCAACTCTTCAGTTAACTATTAAGTCCTTTAAAAGGTCATGAATTAGCTGCTCACAGCAGTGTAGCAGGGAAAACATTGCTTCTCCAAGACCGGAGTTAATTTAACAGTCGCAATAAATTAGCACTGTAAATGGATATACTGCTGTGGGACCGGCTGATATTAGCTGACTAATGACCAACAAACACAATATTATGCAATATTCAGAATTCAGAATTCCTCATGATCTCTAATTTCGTACAGTATAATACAGATTATCGTGTCTCAGCTTTAGACTCTAGTTTACAGTTTTCTCTCCTCCCATTTCCCTTCTAGAATCAGTGTATGATCTTCTCCCCAAAGAGTTGCAGTTGCCACCCTGTGTTGAGGAGAACAGTGCGACAATGAGTCAGAAAAGTGGCGGAGAGACGGGGTCTCCCCCCACAACAGTTCTTTCTTCAGGTAAGCTTTTTCCACTGATTTGTCTTGCTTTTCCCTCTCTTCCCAGTTTAGTACCATAATATAGGTGAGCAGTGCTCGTAATGGTTCTGTCCTGCTGTTCACTCTTTAGGCTACCTGCAAGACCTTTTTTACCAGGCTGTGGAGAAATCTTCAGCATTTTTGTGGGCTTAGCATTTAAACACAGGTCGAGGTAGACGAAAACTAGAGATCATATCTGTCCTGATCAGAAAGTCTTACCTTGTAATTGAGCCACTGGAGGCTCGTGAATCATTTTCATTTATGTAGATGTTATTCCTTTCAGAGTTACTTAATAAAAGGTAACAAGCAAATTGATGGTGATATGCAAAGGTGATCATCTAGTTAGGTGTTATGCTATAAGTTGTTTGGGCATGAAAATGGCTCTGGCTGGTAAAACACTCTCTGTTTTACTGTAACTGAATGGATAGCCCTCGTGCCTTGCAGTTGGAGTCTAAGGAAATGATCTTTTCTTGAACCTTGAGAGATTTCTCTCTCTCTCTCTGAAATGACTAATAACTAAATGTGGGGGATAGATCTTAAGCTGGGTTGCATCAATGGTCAGAAATATGGCAGCCAAAGTTTGTTTGAGGTTAATTTAAGAAACACAAAACCAAAAAAAAAACAAAAACCAACAGAAGTCAGACAAACTTGACCCATAAAACAGCAATACACTCTCTAAATGTTAACACTCCCAGAGTCAACACAGATAACCAATTTACCCCAAACCATTTCGGTACTGCTCACAAGAGTCATTCCTTGTAACCAAGCTGGCTGATCTGTTGAAAAATCCTTACTAACTGCATATTGTTTTTTTGTGGTTTGTTAACTACTTGAGTTGGTGCCATCACCAGATTGTAACCAGCCGTAACATGCATGGATGGGGAAAAATATGAAAACAGAAACATTTAGTGAAAACACTCTTAGCAAAGAATATTCCTCATCGGACCCGTCCCTCCAAAATGAAGTCTAAAGCTTTTTTGGGTTCGTGTTTGTGCTTTGAAACGTGAACACACAGAATGAGATTCACTTTAGTTTCTTTCACTCTACTCCTTTACCAAAGTAGGTTTAGGGTGAGTTTCAGTAAACCAGAAGTCTGTTGCCTTCGGACATCAGTACCTAACTGCAGCCAGTTACATCCCTCTGACGAGGCAGGACATGCTGGCTGTAGCAGAAGGAAGGTGAAGTATTTCCAGCTTAAATGAATTTTAATCCAGAACTGTAGGTTTTTTTTTTACTGAAAATTGGCTTTTCATCTTCTGGCTACTTTCCTTTTCTTTTTAGTTTAATATTTTCTTTGACCCCCATATTTGGTATGATATTTACAGAGGTTCTCTGATGACTTAAGAGAAATGTGTTATGCCAGGTTGAGCAAACTGAGTTTTTTGGGGGTGATGGGGGTGATGGGGGTGGTGGGGGGGGCGGGTATTGATATGATCTTTTTTGTTTTGTTTTTTTTTGTTTTGTTTTTTTTTTTCCATAATTTGGTTACACGTTCCTGATGATTGTTATGGCCTGTTCACATCATAGTGTTATTGCATTGCTCTCCTTGCACATTCTACCTCTGTAAGCCAGTGAGCTGTTGCCTGGGTTGCCAACACCTGTGCAAAACCATGCTAAGCTCCCTCCAACAGCACATGTGCTATATGCAGCTTTGAGCACTACTCCCCCCCCCACCTCAATCTTTTCAGGACTGCTATTCATAGCTTTGCTTGTCATCACATGCTCATTGCCAACGTTGTAGCTTGGCCTGGCCCACCCTATCCTCTTGTGCCCTGTATATCTCACCAACTCACCTCTAATCTTAGGCTTTCACTGCTTGTTGTATTTCCTCTTTGCATATCGCCCCTGGAATTAATAGTGAGGTTACCGTGAGTGGGGTGGCTTGGTTTACCTCTGTGAGATGGTTCTTAAAATTGTTTCGCTTCTTACTTATTTGCCATTCCAGTTCTTTCTTTTCGATGATTATTTGTGTTTTCATGATTCAGCATGCTCAGCATATTCTTGCAAGTTTTAGAGCATGAATTGTGTTGGTGTAATGTGTAATGTTTTTCCTTGCCTTACAGTTTGTTCGTTTTGAGAACAAAGTGGCAAATATTTGGAGATGTGGTTTGGTGGGGTGGGGGCTGGTCATTGGAGAATGGCGAGGGATGCCCCCTAGTGTGATGAAGTACTTTCGTCCTTCACAAACTCAAGACTGCTAGAAATAATTCTAGTTTGAGTTCATCCTTTGCTTCTGTAGCTTTGCACTGGAGTTACACTGCTGACTTTGCAACCAAGAAGCTGGCAAACATGAATGATACACATTCCACACTTTGAACTTTCCTTATACCTTGCTGTTAGATTTAATAATGGAAATGTACCTGTTTGTGCAGCTTTTAAAACAGAATTCAACAATCAGTGCCCCCAGAATGCCATTCTAGAGTTATTGTGGCATTTTTACCCTGAAGATACCAGTGAGAGCTGTGGCAAATTGAAGCTGGAATCACTTTGCAAATAAGTTTGCATACAGTAACCTTTTCCGATTGTCTCTGTGCACAGTCTCACAGGCTTTAGCACAGTGGTCACCAACCCTCCTGCCTGAAGATCTGTTTTCCAGCATTTTCCACCTCCAATCCAAATCTGACACACCAAGGCAATAATTGGGTGGATCAGGTGGGGTTGATTAGAGTCTGCACACAGGGGTGATGGCCACTGCTTTAGCATATGCTAATTCCACCTCTTTGTAAAACACCAAAATAACTGTAAAATGGCAGTTTGAGTGTATTGATTCTTGCATATTGTTACTTTACCAAGCAGTATATTAGCCTTGTAGCTACAGGACAAAACTACATAAGCAATTTCTGGTTTGTCCAGCAAAACTGAGATAAGGATTAAATATAAGCTACATTTTTGTCAGACTGTTTCATTTCAAGAGGAGGTCTGCTTACTATAAGGTCAGGTAATACTCAAAAGTATTAGTCCAATATTCTGCATGATTTTTCTGTCTTTTTTTTTGAACATTTTTCTTTGTTTCTAAGTTTTAAATTCCAAGTATTTGCTCAAACTCTAATTTATTGTCATGCATTTTATATAATAGGTTACCTGGGTTACCTAATATGTTGTTGGGTATTCTTTAAAATATTAAATCTTTATCTTCAATCAGTTCATAAGAATATTTGAATATTACTTGAATATTGCAATCACAATGTCTGGTGTGAAACATTATATCACGTTGTCTGGTGTGAAAGCTGTCAAATGCGTTGTCCCACATTTACAGTGTTTTTAAGCACAGTGGTGCAGGAAGCTACCGGCTCAAAGTAAGGAATGGTCAAAGCAACACTCACTATTCAAATGTGGGTAGTGCTGACCCAGACTTAGCTGGCCTAGGATTGTGTTTACATTTCCCATGTGCATGTTGGGTTATGTTTGCCTGTTGTGAATATCTTTAATACTAAAATCTTACTTTTCTTTATTATGTATAAATAGATTATATACACATAAATAACAGGATGACAGAAAATGTATTATGCACAATAGAATGAAGTAACTTTAACATTGTTAAAGACTATATGGCCTTTTAGCCTCTTGTTTATCAAGTTCTTAGTATTAAATGACAAAAAATGTGACTTGTAGTTTCCTTCAGCATTATTGTTAGCTTTGGTAATTTCAGAAGGTTGGTAAGATTGGGAACTTTTAAGTCTACTTTCCAAAAGTCTTGGGAAGCCAAGAAAATTATTTAAAACTTTCTTAACCTTAAAAATCTTAAAAGCAAGTATGTTTTTGCCAGTAAAACACTATGTGACATTTGAATGAATACAAAGAAACATAAATACACAGAACACATAACAGGATCTTTTTTATTAATACAGGGTGATAAAACAGATTCATCTGATTTCAAAATGATTTATTTCACTTGTAAATCATCACAGAACAATGCAGTAAACTGTAAATGGTTTAAATGAGCATAAAGTTTATTATGTAATTGTACAAGTGCTCAGTATGAACCTCCTCCAGCTGTACGGACAACATCAACGCCGTAGTCAAATTCATCCCATACTAGATTGAGCGTGTCGGGTGTCGCTGCACTCACGGTTCTTTCAGTGCGATTTCGGAGATCATCCAGTGTTGTGGAACCAGCGACGAACACTCTGAGCTGTTGGAGCTTCACTGACCACGAAAATCACACTGCACAGTTATGATGGATTCACTCTTATTGAAGTGGAGAACGCAGAACTCTTTCTGCTCAGGGGTCTCATCTCCTCTCAGACTGAAGGGGGCCATCTTCCGGTGACCGTCAGAAACTCTATGAACCCCTCTTTCAATTAGATTGTGATTGGTTCCTAGGCACCTCACGGTTGGAAAAATATAGCGCTTTGAAATCAGATGAATCTTTTTGAATCACCCTGTATTTTGGTCAGAAGAATACATTTAAAAGAACACAAGTTTGGTTTCTGACTTCTCGGTGCACTCTGTCCACTGTATGAAATGAATTTGTTAAATTCCATCAAAAGTATATTTTATTTTTATAATTTAATGAAGGATTGGTTAATGCAGGATTAATAGTGGAATTCCTCAGGGAAACATTTAGAAATGCTTGTGTTAACACATAAATATGACAGACAGTAAAGACTTACTGTCCAGATAAACAGCTTCACGTATTTTCTCAAGACTTAAATACCAGATAAGAGTTAAAGCTATATATTAAGGCTTTTTAAAAATGTGCAGTAAGTGCAGGTTTTTAACTGCTAGTGAATAAACTTGAACATTTATTGTTCAGAAGTCAAAAGAAACTTATGGTTTTTTAAATAATATTATGTAATAAACTTTAGTATATAATAAAATATATAATATTAATATTAATATTAATATAATAATAGACTTTTCCTTCTAAAATGTTGATCTATAAGCATACTCAACATTTATTTCATCAAGTGAAAGTCCCCAAGCAAATTGAGATTAATTTATAGTAAGTTGCCATTCTGATCATTATTGAAGTCTAGTAAATGTACAGTTGTACAGTTGGGGACAGGACCTTTATTGCCATAATTGTAGTACATTTAGCTTTGACATATGAACATATCCACTTAGCTATTTAGGGTAATATGTTGGTCCACATTGATAATTATTGGCATGTAGTCATAGAAATAATAATGAATAATGGAAAATGATAGAAAGAACATTTAAAAATATCTGTTACCCATACAGTTGATACTGTCTCATATTTTAATCTTTTATGTAATGATGGGAAGCATTTTCTGTGTCTATGGTATTTCCTCCTCTGTAGGCTCCATAACATGCTGCATCTCAAAATACGCTTCTTTCATAATCTGACATTAAAATACAGAGTATTAATAGCTCAGAATACATAGACAGTTGAAATCTTAGATCATGTTTGCTCTAATCAGACAGGCCTAATCATATTTACTACGAGGTAACAGTGTCCACACTGCAAATCGTCCACTTTGATTGTAACACTTTAAATTTGCATCACTCAAACTAGTTTCACATTGTATTCTTACTTTAAAATGTGAAATGTTGAAATTTGATGTGTTTGAGTGTGAAAACGGAACTTACTAGGCATGTTCTGTCAAGAACCACTATGATCTCATTCTGTAAAAGTCACTTGAGACGAGGGCTGAGATCATTAAAGAGGTCATACTTATTTCTGCTTTTATCTGCTGCTTAATCTAACGTTCATAATTAATCGTATTATTCAGATCAAGAGTGTGGATGAAGATTTGCCCTCTGAAAGGTTGTGCTTTTCCCTGCAGAGTGATCCGTGTTAGTGTGAGTGAAGTGGAAAAGAACAATCTTGACCTGTAATGTTTTAAGGTTCTTTTTTTGTTTGTTTGTTGTCTGGAGAATTTTTTTCTATGCATCATCCAAGAAATTGTTTTTTTGTGGTTTCAAAACTTATTTCCTTTGAAGCTAATGGTATTTATGTACTAAAGCAATGTTCTCTTTTGTTAGAAAAAAATACTAGTCCTTGCTTCACCTTGTTTCCTAAAGATTTTAAGATTTTGTTATAATAAATTTCAAAGCAGACAACGTTTTGTGGCAGTAGGTACTCGATAAAACTTATTTTATGTTTAAAAACCAAAAAAAATGTGATCCAGTTTCTGTGTAATTGTAGACGTTACAATGCTGTATTAGTTTAATCCTCCTACTTTGTGTTGCATCAGGGCATTATTCCCACATATTTGAGCATTTGGAATGGTAAGGCCAGACTGGAGGATGAATAGAATGTGGCTAGATTGGAATTCATTTACAGACAATGCTTTGCTTTGAGATGCGTTGTAAGTATGAAAACACCAGCAGCTTTGGTCTGTTGCCCTTCCATCAGTTCTCTACAGAAGAAATTGCTTGTTTTCATCCTTCCATCTTCATTGCCCTGTCTCTGAGTGTGCATGTCTTGATGGAATTCCCTCAGGGTTCATTGATCTTTTCAGAGGTAGACTTTTTACATTTTAAAAAGATTTTAAAAAGGTTATAGTAGTTTAATTATATAGTTCCCACTTCTTCAATGGCTGCCCACCACCACCACTCTTTCTTATTCTGTCAGCATAACACTGTGTACATCATTCTGTTGTAAATCCTCTATATGAATGCTTTTAAAATGTCTTGAAATGTGGTGCTTGACACTGTATTTACCTCATTCCTCAAATAGGGCCCAAAGTAGGCCTGAGACATGGATCATTTTGGATTTTGAAGGCTCACTGCTGATGAGTTCCATTTTTATTAATTAATTCAACTCTAAACAAATTCCTTTGTTCTTTTAAAAGTCATTTTCAATGGTCAGCTTTTATTACTCATTCGTTGTCTCGTTTTTATTCCAGGAATTTCCCTCTGAAGCAGGGAGTGTCTGCATATAAAATGGTCTGCAGTTCTCTGCTTCATAGGTCAGAAGCTGGTTTATTTTGTTTCTGTGGCTATGCTCAGTCCCAACAAAATTGAATCTGACAAAAGAACCCATCATTTGGAATGCATCATTTGACACATGATATTTCTGATCTGGTCTAAATAAGCCTTGTTTTGCAGTTTACATTTATGAATATGAACTCACATAGACTAAGTTTGATTTATTTCAAAACTACCTACAGTAATTGTATGTTTTAGTAATTATACCAGCCCATATGTAGATGTACATGACAAGAATACAAGATGAAAGCTGTTTATTGGCACGAGGTGTGTAGAAACCTCTCATTGTTATTATGCATGTGCCAGTTTGCTTTTTTGCAATGGATGCTTAAATGTGCTTTAACCATATTTTACAGAGCATGTGATGTTATTTAGCTCACATTTCAGAGAAAACTGCATTGTAGGAACAGATTTGCTGGGAAATATTGTCTTCTTCTCATATTTATTCATTAATGCACCACCTTTAGTCTTTACACACTTAGACACATGTGCACACACACACACACACACACACACACATATACACTCACACACACACTCACACCATGATGCATAAAAAGCTTAAAAGAAAAAACAAACTAATTGTAATTGGAAATCCAAACCAAAAAAGCAGTTGTACTGAAATTTCGCTGCTTAGCTGGGACTGCTAGCCAGTGTAGGTGGAGAAACCTTTATTTACTGTCTAATTATACACACTGCAGATGCCTCCTCCATCTCCTCTGGTATGACCATGGGAAGTCCCAGCAGTGCTTTTCCCACCTCTTCCAGCTTCACCATGCACTCCTCTACCTCAGCCACGGACCGGGGCCCGGTGCATGAAAACAGCACACCTGGTGAAGTAGGTAGCCGGAGGAAGGCAGAGATGCTGGCTGCGGAAGGTAAACTGCCCAGCAGCAGTGGCAGTGGAGGAAGTGGAAGAGGGTGTGGAGAGAAGGGCGGGGGAGCCTCTCAGCAGCACCACCATCAGATGATGCCCTCCAAACGACCCGTCTTGAACATCTCGCCCCCGCCAGAAGACCTTTTTGATGACAGCCACATGTCGGGATGCCAAGACGACCTGCTCCAGGACTCGGAGCAGAGCAACAGTATCTGGACAGAAAACTCTGTCTCAAACTTCAGCCTCATGAGCTCCAGCTCCTACAATGACAACACAGAGGTTCCTCGCAAGGCCCGGAAGCGCACGCCGCGTCAGCGGCCTGGGTCAAAGCCGGTGTCTGCCGAAGAAGCCAATATGGACGTCTTCGATGCGGACAGTGCCAAAGGCCCACACTTTGTGCTCTCCCAGCTTGGCCCAGACAGCAAGACCTGTGTCAAAACAAGGTGAGTGATTCTCCTGCTTTGTGCTTCCAGAGGTTCTGGAGGGGGAGGAAATTATACAAACCTTATAAAATAATCTCATATTGACCTGACAGCACGGTGCTCAGGGAATACGTGAAAATAAATAAAAATGAAGATTGGGCAGCAGCTAAATCTAGTTATATTTTATGAGTGTTATGTGGCAGGTATCCAGAGTGCGTCTACAAATATCTGCACTGTGGTAGTAGGCTAAACAACAAATGCATGCAAATAGTAGCAAACGTGGATGGTGTAGACTGGTATCCCTATAAAGGCTATTTTCCCACTTTGCCTGTACGACTCAAAAATAATCACCATCATCATCTTAGTTGAACTGAGTTAAGAATGTTTTACTGCCACCAGTAGTAAAATATTTGGACGACGGCTGTGAGCATTTTCCAATGAGAAGCTCTGAATCATAGCCAAACCACTTCTCCTTTCTCCCCCTGTGGATGGGTGATAGGATCTAAGCTGGGGTGGGGCCTGGTGTCGCAATACAAACAATGGTCATTCACTCTGAAACTCATTCAGCCTCTTTGTGAAGGACTGAGATGAGTCACAGGATTGCGAGTATCTAGCTTATTCAGACAGTCTGCTGGTGAATGTCTTGTGACTTTGTTAACATGTGAACAGACTCTAAAGGCCACCACACACCAGACACGGCGCACAGCTCCCAAAAATTCGAAACCATTGTTTTAATGAATCCTCTTACTCCCCAGTGACCCAACAGGTCCCAGTGGCTCTCATTGTGTACATACTGTCTATTAAGGAGCTCAGACAGGCCAGTGACACGGAACCCTGAGTGCATTCCCATTACTACAGCAGCCTGCACTGTTATTTGGATCTCATTTCATGTTGCCAGCAATTGATCAGCTACATTCAGTGTGCGATAGGTGGTACCCTGAAGTTTGATGCTCACTAGAACACAAACTTTTCGTTTTCTAGCTCTGACGGAAACCAGGCATCTGGTCAGAAAGGCGGGGTATTGTCTGGCCAGTACCCACAGAAGAGCGAGGGGAAGGAGCTGAAGATCCTCGTCCAGCCGGAGACCCAGCACAGAGCCCGGTACCTGACTGAAGGCAGCCGGGGCTCCGTGAAGGACCGCACACAGCAAGGCTTTCCTACGGTCAAGGTGGGTCAAATGAAACATTAACACACTTTTGTGCAGTATGTGCACTTCTGGGCTTTACCCACAATCTGTGAGTCAGTAATCACCAAAGATCAATCTGTGTCTCTTGTACCCTGTTCATATTTCTCTTAACTAGTACTCTAAGCATAGCTTAACCTTTTCAACTCCTCCAAAACGCACTTCGTCATATTCTTCATAACTTTCATATTTCATAAGCTGCATTCATAGCTTATATTCTTTCCAGTCAAATAGATGGGTAATGTAATTTTAAACACTTATAATAGTTCTAATAACTCACAATTTTTTTTGTCTACTGAAAGTCGACCCATTTTTCCACAAATCTGGGCTGTAAACTATAAACAGATGGCGTCTCTTCAGTGATCTGCTCTGTAAAAATTATTTTTATAAAATAATACAAAGAGCATCTAAGATTTTTGGCTTTCAGCAAGAAATTGTGAGCATATAGCAATATGTGTATGATCATAAAACACACGTTCTGTTAATTTGAGGGGCGCTTTTGAAAATAAATAAATAAAATAGCAATTTACATTTATTTCATGCAGTTATGGAATAATTTGCCTTATAATTTGGTCATGCAAATTCAGATGGAAAAACCAAAATATACCCTGGTCAATAAGAGGTTAAGCAGTAATGCAATGGTATATCCCATCTTTTTTTAATCTGACATACTAAAAACATGACCTGTTTACTAGCGGTCAAAGGCTTTTTACCTCCTTTGCATAGTGATGACTTGCTTTAAAAAAGGCAGATGTAATTATTAGGTTCCTCCAGTTGTCTGGACGTTCATTTATATTCATTAGCTGCTGCTCTTTCAACTAATCCTCACAGCTTGAGGGGGTGAAGGAGCCAGTGGTTCTGCAGGTGTTTGTGGGCAATGATGCTGGCCGCGTGAAACCTCACGGATTCTACCAGGCCTGTAGAGTGACGGGTCGAAACACCACTGCCTGTAGAGAAGTGGACATTGAGGGCACCACTGTCATCGAAGTGTCTCTGGACCCCAGCAATAATATGACCCTTGCGTACGTATATGTATATGAAATCGAAAATGTCAACTGTGTCGTAAATAAAGGCTGCATCCTATGCCATTTGTGGGAGTTAAATTAATCTTGATAATAATAATGGCAACTGATAGCTGTATATCTCTGTAGTGTGGACTGTGTGGGAATCCTGAAGCTCCGGAATGCTGACGTGGAAGCTCGCATCGGTGTGGCCGGGTCCAAGAAGAAAAGCACCCGTGCCAGGCTGGTGTTCAGAGTGAACATCCCTCGACCAGACGGCTCTGTGCTCACGCTACAGACGCCCTCCTCTCCCATTCTGTGCAGTGAGTGGATTAGAGTTATTCATAGCATCTGTCACACAATTTGTTTTGAGTTTGTTATGGTGGTTCTGATTTTGGAAAATTGTGGGTAGAGATTCATGATGAATAGACCAAAAGAAACGGCCCAAAATGACTTGGTAAATAGTCTGGTTCCATTGACTTACATAAAAAGTAAATTAGGTTTTTTCCTTTTCCTGTAAAGTCATTTTGGAGATACAAGGTTTTCTTCATGTTTATATATATAATATATATATGTGTGTGTGTGTGTGTGTGTGTGTGTGTATACATATATATATATATGTGTGGAACAGAACCATTGCTGCAATACTACTGTAAATCACAAAATCAGTAAAAGCGTTCCTGTACATGATATCACATGTTAAGATTGTGCGGTTAAACCATGTTGTTGGCGTCACATTTGTGTCCTCCAGTATCTTAGTTTAATGTTTGGCTTACAGCAGAATCTTAGATTTGTCAAATCAAATTCTTTTGTTTTTTTTTTCTGCCTGCACTGGGTCATTGTCAGTGTGTCCTAAGAGACCTAATCGTTGCATGGCTTCCTTTCCATAGCCCAGCCTGCAGGCGTTCCTGAGATTCTGAAGAAGAGTCTACACAGCTGCTCAGTACAAGGAGGCGAAGAAGTGTTTATCATTGGAAAAAACTTTCTCAAGGGAACAAAAGTCATATTTCAAGAGAACGTCTCAGGTACTAGGCCAGATATTCCATCTCCTTTGCCATCTGAATCTGTAGTCTCATACTAAAGACTTTGTATGGAGCACTGTTTGTTTTGACTTTCTGTCTTTGTCTTGCAGATGAGAAGTCTTGGAGGGCTGAGGCTGAGATTGACATGGAGCTTTTCCATCAGGTACAGGTGCAGTGTGTTTGGAGGTCACAAATAGGGCCTGCTTTGTGCACACTTTTGACATCATTGTCTTCAGTTTCCATTCCTGAAATTGGCCCGGTCTGCAGTTTGCTGACCTAGTTACTCAAATAGAATGTGATGAAAGAGCTGAATATTTTGAGAAAAGCCTTTTAGCATGAAACTTGAGGTGTTACAGAAACCATATGTCTTCATAATGACTAGGAATGGTGTTAGCATCTATTGAGATCAGACAGATTTCTTTCCATTCATGGTTAAGCATAATTCCTCACACAGATATTAATTATTCACAATTTCCGTAACACATTATGAGCTCTTGTATATAATTTAATGTAATATATGTATGAAGTGATGCAGACAGGTTATACAGTCACACATGGTGAGTGTATCTTTGAAAAAAAAACCTTCTTCACTGTGTGAAAACTGGCAATTTCCTTTTTTTAAATAAATCTAATGATTGTTTATTCATTTATTCCATTTAAGACTCGTGTTTTTCGCAAACATTCCGATAATGATTGGTTGTATCCAAGTCAGATTTGAGGACGGCTTCTTTTGCACCATCTCAACATAAAAATATTTTGTGTTAGTCAATACTGTTGACATGGCAATGATAATGCTGTAAAATCTCTCAATCCTAGTAATTATAACCAAAAATAACTGTTTTTATACTAACTAAGTATAGTAGCAGTGCCACAATTGACCTCATCATAAATGGTTGTTTAAGGTATGGCAGTCTTTTCTGATACTCACACTGCCTAAGACAGATATACTAGACGTATATTGCCCATATTTTGTGAGATGAGTGAAAATGTGTAGGCTATCATTATCACTTCATCTTATATCTCAGAATGTGATGCAGACAAATGGTAATTGGAGACACACCTCCTAGACCATGAGTGAGGAAGGGTAATACTGCCATCATCTGACTGACTCACCCAACTCCCTACTCTTACAGTATATACAGCAAAGTATTAGGAACAGTCCAACAAAGAATAGGAACAGTCCAAATTATTTTCTTAATTTTTTGTGGGCTACATCTAAATGCTGCATTTACATGTTAGCGTTTGAAAAAAAAACATTGTTTCTTACCAGTTCATAGTAGAACTGGTATAATCAGTGTGGTATGCGACCCAATGGCAGCATGCAGCTATGCAAATATTGCCAAAATGATAGTATTACTGGAATAACAGTAGCATTCTTGCATGTGCGTGGGGCGATCATGTTAGCCATCTTTGTGTTTTTCCATGTGTTTTGAATACACGCTGATGTTTCTGATGGCGTATTTTCCCTGAAGTTTGGTTTTGTACATATACATTTGTGTGGATATGCTTGGACTTCAACTATAAGCATTTAGTGCCCATGTTTTTTGAATCAGTCAGCATCCAATTTAATACACAACTGTGGCTGATGGCAAAAGTTGAGAAAATTTAACTCTTGATGGAATGTTCTGCTGACCGTAGTAAACAGAAATCTACGACGGCGTTTTAGAGCCACTGTTAATAAAAATAAAAATAGTAGACTTTGAGAATAAAGTCGTAATATTTCGAGAATAAAGTCTTAATATTTTGAGAATAAAGTCTTAATATTTTGGGGATAAAGTGGGCTAACTGTAGGAGGGCTGCCATAATGCGTTGGGGTCTCCGTTGCTGTACTGGCGCCGGAGCTCCACTCACTCCTGTCTCTTCGTGGATCATTTGATCATCATTCTCACTGTCTGTGAAACTTCATGCCCTCTTTGAATGGTGTGGAGATGTAGCCCCCGATAGCCGTGTAGACCACCCTGCCTGAGATTCTCCTTCAACAACACAGACAGACAGTTTCCTCCGAGTCCGTCTGGCTCTTTATTCTAGATAAACACAGTTTCCTGCTCAGCCGTTTCAGCCGGTTCTTATACTAATAACAGGCTGGTGCTGATGTGCAGGAGAGACAGGGAGACTGAGTGTTTCTTTATGGGTCAATCGATATGAAAGTAGAACTCCACCAACTCACCACCCCTCATTTAACACGAAGAGGTGCTGCCTTCCCTTTGCAAAGCCTTTGGCCACAATATTGTGACCTTTCCTGGGATTAATGCCACTTACTGTCGTAATTCTACGACGTTTTTTCTTGAAATATTATGACTTTATTCTCGAAGTCTACTATTTTTATTTTTATTAACAGTGGCCCCAAAACGCCATCGTAGAAATCAGTTGAATCACTATTTTAAAAAATACTCAACAGAGCGTTTAACTGACAGATCATACACGGTAATTAACTGCAGAACTGTGACACTGGTGACATGGTACATAACCATGCTGGCAGTGTCCAGGCTTCTGTGCTGGAGACTGTGCTTTCTTGTTCTTAGCTGACAACACGGTCTTCGGCTGCTGTAGGCCATTTGAGACAGGTCCAAAAAGTGGTGTGATCTGAGATATTATGCAGTCCTGTGTTCAGTTTGGAAGTAATTTGCCTGGTTTTGGTCTGTCATACATACTTAAAAAAGCCCAGGACAGAAGCTGTTTGGGAGATGCAAGAATCAGCCAGTTACATCCATCATGCCAGTAAAGGTCACTCGTTATTAGACTTGGTCTTTCTCTAACCTCTCATATTAACAGCACTCTCTTTTGTCTGTTCAATTGTACAACCCCATTCCCAAAAAGTTGTGACGCTGTGCAAAATGTAAATAAAAACAAAATGCTATGATGTGCAAATCATTTAAACCCTATATGTAATTGAAAATAGTACGAAGACAACATATCAAACATTGAAACTGAGAAATTTTATTGTTTTTTGTAAAAAATATGCCCGTTTTGAATTTGACGCGAACAACACGTCCCAAAAAAGTTGGGACGGGGGCAACAAAAGGCTGGTAAGAAAATATATGGTTTACATAATTTGCATATCATTACATTCTGTTTTTATTTACATTCTGCACAGCGCCCAACTTTTTTGAAAATGGGGTTGTACTTACTGGGATGTTGGATATCGTGAAATACTAAGTATAGAATAGTATCCTCTAAAAGGTTTGATACATACAAGCCTAGTCACAGTATTCATATAGTCTGAAATTACACTGCAATCAGCAGCACACAGACCTCTTTACTTAACTATTACTTTATATAAGTCATTTATATTTGTGTCCATTTGTCATTTCTCATTTAGAACCATCTTATTGTGAAAGTTCCACCATATCAGAATCAAGCCATCACCTGTCCTGTATCTGTTGGGATCTATGTATTGACGAATGCTGGACGTTCCCATGATGTGCAGCCATTTACCTACACTCCAGATCCAGGTCTGTGAACTCTCCTCCTCCTTAACGCAAACCAAGCCTAATTACCTTTCCTTGAACCCCAATTCTCCTGTTTTAAACAGCTTTTTTACAGTTACCTTGAACACAGAAAGACTAAATGAGGAAAATAAATACAGGCTTCTCTTACTGACCTTGAAACATATGCGCATTTACAGCTACAGATGTGTCTGTGAAAAAAGAGACCTTGCCTCCAGTCAAGCCCTGTTCCTTTGAAGGTAACAAATCTGTACCTTATAACTATATTTTGAATTTTTTATTAAGACATTTCATGGTTGTTTTGTTGATTTACTGTAATGGATTTTGAGTAATATCAAGTCGTCCTCTTTTCAAACAGTAATGGATGGTGGTTTGATGGTCCCAATCTTGCCTCTTGTCAAAAGAGAAGAAGTCACTCCCATGGAGGTGTCCAGTAACTCTGGAACCTTTAAGGTTTGTTCTTTCAAAAGAATAGAGTAAAAACTAAAATAACATTACTGATTAAATTAAGCACAAGTGGTGTGTGATGCACAGTAATAAGGCACCATCTGAATGCTTGTTTCTCTTTTTTATTGGTTTACTTAACAGACCTCAGATCTGATGAATTCAGCCCAGCAGACCCTAGAAATTAATAACAACATCTCTACCAACGGTCAGTCATTCTCAAGCTCTCTGGCCTGTCAACAAGCAGAACAAGAACAGCCTCAGAGTTCTGTTTTCTCCAACAAGGAACCATTAAGCACCATTCAGAAGCAAGACATTGCACCCAACAGCTCTTTCCATGTGCCTGGCAAACCGCTGCTCCAGCAAGGGACCCAGCAATTCCTCTTGGATACTGAGAGTCTGACCCAGGAGAGGTCTGGCAGCAGTGCTGGTACAATGGTGGGACTTTCCCAAATGGACGACAGCCCACAGCATCAACTGTCTCTCCTACCTCCAGATGAGGTGGCACAACTGGAGCAAGCAGTGCGACAGCTGCAAGCAAAGGGATTTTGCAACATTCATCTTCAGTCCGAAGATTCGCTGGCAAAAAAGCAGCAGCACCGACTTCAGCAACATCAGCAAATACAGCAGCAGATCCAGCAGCAGCAACAGCAACAGCAGCAGCAGCAGCAGCAGATGCAACAGCAACAGCAACAAGTTCTGGAGAACCTGCAGCATCAGCTTTTTCATCCCCAGGTTCAAATGCAGTGCAGTCCAGAGCAGCAGGGCTCCTCGCAAAGCATAGTGGAGAACAACAATGCACTCTTCCAACAGCCGTCTGCACAGCAGCAGCAGGCTGCTCTGTTTCAGCAAGCAAAAGATCTCATCTCCATTCAAACCAGCTATCTTCAGCAGACACCCTCTCATTCCTCTCCTCCCTTGTTCCACACCTCCACTTCCTTGGCTGAGGCCCAAGCCCCTCAAGAGGCACTGTTTCACACACAGAAAACCTCACCCACCCAGGAGCAGGTCCAGGCTTCCCTTTTCCAGAACACTATGAATGTTCTTGATGGGTCCAGCTTGTCTGCAGAACCTCAGCCTTCTGCAACCAGTATGTTTCTCAGCCAGAGTGCCTTACCTGGTCAGCTCGCAGTCAATAACAACCAGTCGCAACAGCTGGCTTTCCTCAGCTCTATGCAGACGTCTGCCCTTGAGCCGCAGTCTGTGTTCCAAGCCTCTGCCCAGCTGGCCCCCATTCAGCAGGGCACGCCCATGGAGCAGCAGTCGCCGCAACAGACCTCACAACCCCAGCCGGGCTCTCTGTTTCAGGGTATCTCCCAGCCATCAAACGCCAAGCTCTCCCCTAACCAACAGCAAGCTGGGTTGCTCTTTAACTCTCTGAGTTCAGCAGTGGCACCAGAACAGACCTCTGGTCTCTTGTTCAGTGGTCAGCCTCAGATGACCTCAATGAATAGCAGCAGCCTGATTTCCTCGGAGCAGCAGAATGCATCACTTCCTTTTTCCCAGACCAGCATGGTCACGGTCAGGCAGGAAGAGCCCTCTGAGCCCATGTCGTTCCAGGATCAGAGCACTGATGTGGCAAATCAGTCTGGAAGTAAGCAAACCATGTTCCAGGAACAACAGCCCATGCAGCTGGCACCAGGTTCAGGCACCGGCTCTCAGCCTTCTGTGAACCTTTTTGTGGCCCAGCCCAATATGCCAAGGAGCATAGCCTCCCAAGAGGCACTTTTTGCTCCTCAGAATGGTGTGGCAGGACTTCAGACCACCACCTCCTCACCAGTGCAACAGCCTGGATCCCTGTTTCAGACAACAGTGAGTGGAAGCCTCAACCAGCCAAGCCAGAACCAGCAGCCTAGCATCTTCCTTTTTGAAATACATAATGGTAAAGATAATAAGAATGTATACTGTATTAGTGTTTCACCTCAGTTGAAAGGGTTACAAGTTTATGTTATGGACTATTCGGACAGCATTCGTTTTTCAAGAAGAGCTGGTCTAGCTTAATTATTACTTGTAATAATTACCAGAGTAATTCTGTGGTTCGTCATGTCATTAACTTCTAAAGGACTGCCCATCCTCATATCTGCAAAGATTATGGCGGCTTTTACATTACTTTTACATAGACGTTTTCATGTTTTTCTTAATTACAGAGACAAATGAAGAAGTATTTTATTTACGCTGATCAGGCACAACATTATGACCTCCTTGTTTCTACGCTCATTGTCCATTTTATCAGCTCCACTTACTATATAGGTGCACTTTGTAGTTCTACAATTACAGACTGTAGTCCATCTGTTTCTCTGCATACTTTGTTAGCCCCCTTTTACCCTGTTCTTCAGTGGTCAGGACCCCCATGGACCCTCACAGAGCAGGTACTATTTGGGTTGTGGATCATTCTCAGCACTGCAGTAATACTGACGTCGTGGTAGTGTGTTAGTGTGTGTTGTGCTGGTAAGAGTGGATCAGGCACAGCAGTGCTGCTGGAGTTTTTAAACACTGTGTCCACTCACTGTCCACTCTGTTAGACGCACCTGCGTTGTTGGTCCACCCTGAAGATGTAAAGTCAGAGACGATAGCTCATCTGCTGCTGCACAGTTTGTGTTGGTCATCCTCTAGTCCTTCATCAGAGGTCACAGGACGCTGCCCACAGGACGCTGTTGACTGGATATTTTTGGTTGGTGGACTATTCTCAGTCCAGCAGTGACACTGAGGTGTTTAAAAACTCCAGCAGCACTGCTGTGTCTGATCCACTCAGACCAGCACAACACACACTAACACACCACCACCACATCAGTGTTACTGCAGTGCTGAGAATGACCCACCACCCAAATAGTAGCTGCTCTGTGAGGGTCCATGGGGGTCCTGACCACTGAAAAGACAGAAGCTGTTAACAGTGGAATGTTCTTGGTGAGGTGTGGATCTCTAAAACAAGTAAAAGACAAACCACAGATTACAGATATCATATGTAGTGCAGTTCAGTCATAAACATTCAGCAGAAACCTTTTTATTTAGGGACACTGAAAACATATTCTGTCCGAATATGACTTTAGCATAGAATTGTGGATTTTGTATTTGACTAATGAGGTGCTGAAGATACTGATTTGTACTAATCTACATTGTAGATTGCAGTCAGCTGATGAACTCCCAAGGAACCACGCTTTCTGACCAGATCATTGCCATAAGCCAGTCTGGTCAGAACCAGAGGGAGAGTGATGGGCACATCCATTCCTTACTCAACCAGTCCATGTCAGAATCTGGGAATGTTCAAAATGTCCTAACCACCTCCCAGAACATGGAGAAGATCGATGACCTCCTTGTGAGCCTTCAGGAGCAAGGCAAGAACCTCCCTCATTCCTACTAGGACCTTACAGATCCCACAGGTAAATACAGCTCACTTTATTAATATTTAATATAAAGATACCATTGAGAAAGATTAATATGGTCATATTAGTCATATCATCATATTTGAACATGAGTACTGACTCTCAGGAAGCTACCTTGTTAAGGTGGATTAAATCAGCTTTAGATTACAACCCCATTTCCAAAAAATGTGGGTCGCTGTGCAGAATGTAAATAAAAATAGGAGGCAATGATATACAAATCATGTGAACCATATTTATGAAGGAAAATACTACAAAGACAACAAATCAAATGTGGAAACTGAAAGATTTTATTTGTTGAAAAATATTTGCCCATTTTGTATTTAATGCGGACAACATGTTCCAGAAAAGTTGGGACGGGGGCCTGTTTACCACTGTGTTTCATCACCTCTTCTTTTATCAACACTCTGTAAGTGTTTGGGAACTGAGGAGACACTGCTGTAGTTCTGAAAGTGAAATGTTTTCTTGTTCTTGTTTGATACAGGATTTCAGCTGCTCAACAGTTCAGGGTCTCCTTTGTCACATTTTTCATTTCATAATGTGCCAAATGTTATCAGTGGAGACAGGTCTGGACTGCAGCAGTAGCACCGGGACTCTTTTAATACAGAGCCATGCTGCTTTAATACATGCAGAATGTGGTTTGACATTGTCTTGCTGAAATAATCAAGGCCTTCTCTGAAAAAGACGTCGTCTGGATGGCAGCATATGTTGCCAAAACATGTATATATCATTCAGCATTAATGGTGCCTTCACACACATCACCCATGCCATGTGCACTAATGCCCCCTATACCATCATGAATAATGGCTTTTGAACTGTGCACTGATAACAAGCAAAAATCGTCTTTAGCCCAGAGGACACAGCGTCCATGATTTCCAAAAAGAATTTTAGATGTTGATTCGTCGGACCACAGGACACTTTTCCACTTTACCTCAGTCCATTTTAAATGAGCTTGAGCCCAGAGAAGGTGGCAGCATTTCTGGATCCTTTTTATGTAGTTTCTTTTTTGTGTTTTAGAGTTCTAAATTGCATTTGTGGATGCAGCGACAAACTGTTTTCACAGACAGTGGTTTTCAGAAGTGTTTCTGAGTCCATGCAGTGATTTCCACTAGAGAATCATTTCTGTTTTTAATGCAGTGCTGCCTGAGGGTCCAAAGATCACAGCCAGCAAATACTGTTTTTTGGCCTTCTCCCTTACATACAAAGATTTCTCCAGATTCTCTGAATCTTTTAATGTTATTATATACCGTAGATGATAAAAAGCAAAAGTTCTTTGCTATTTTACATTAAGAAACCTTATTCTTGAATTTTTTCACCATTTGATCGTGCACAGAGTGGTGAACCCCTCCTCATCTTTACTTCTGAAAGACTCCGCCTCTTTGAGATTTTTTTATTTCTTTTTTATGCCCAATCATGTTACTGACCTGTTGCCAATCAACCACCAGGTGTTTTTTAGCATTACACAACTTTACCAGCCTTTTGTTGCCCCTTTTTGGAATGTGTTGCTCAAATTCAATATGGGCATATATTTTTCAAAAACAATAAAATTTCTCATTTTCAACATTTGATACGTTGTCTTTGTACTATTTTCAAGTAAATATAGGGTTTAAATGATTGGCACATCATTGCATTTTGTTTTAATTTACCTTTTGCACAGAGAGAAAATGGAGCTGTACATGTATTTGTGCTTCACAGGCCATACAAGCTTTTTAAGAAATGTTTGTCCAAGTGCATAAATATAGCTTGTGTAGGTGGGGCTTTATTTTGCCTTACAGTGCTTACACAATCTTTGCTTACCTTTACTTTTTTTTCCTCCAGACAAGCTTGGAGAAGATCGGGGAAGTCATTAAGGGTCAGTGGCTGAATGGTGAAAGCTGTGACGACGTGAGCTTTGTGAATGTATCGTTCAGATATCAGCGCTACAGAGAGCATCTGCAGAAAGTATATTGGTGTGGAGGTCAAGGAGTTACTTCAGTCATGCCTTAGTTGAACAGTGTCACTACAAACAAGATTTCCAAGATACGCTATGTCTGTCAGGTTAAGCACGGCATACTTTCGTGCTGTTTGTCTTTAGCTGTGAAAGAAACATATCATAAAACGTGGAATGTTTGGTCTTTTTGTCAGTTCTCAGCAAGCACTTTGCTTTTTTATGAAGTCGTATCAGCAAGTAAGCACATTTTGAGCTCCCTTTTCTTGTGACTGATGCATTTTTGCCAGATATTTTTTTTTAATCTTGTACATTAATCAAATTATGAAAGGTTCAAACACAAAAAAAAGAAAAGAAAAAAACTTGTAACATATTTTGACATTTTATCCCGGTAGCACTTTATTTGTTTAGATGTTTGTTTAGCACTGTTGGTCTCGACTCCACCCTCCCTCATGCTTTCAGTCTCAAATCATGATTTAGACAGTGCTAAAAATTTGCATAATCCACCGTTTATAGCCATCGTCTCATGTAGCTTGTGTAGTTTATGAAATGTAATGTTCTGAGAGTTTGTCTCTCTCTTTCAAAATATGTCTGTTAGTGCGTTTATTGTGAAAAAGGAGATGTTTACTGCTCTACAGATTCTAAAAAATTTACATATCTCGCTAGATGATGCCTCTGTGCTTCGATGTATTGCTTACTAGCGGCTGGCACGCTGGTGGTGGGCAGTTTGACTTCTTTTTATCAAACAAGGTCCTACTACCAACAGCTTTTTACCAGGTTATCTTGCCTTGGTGCTACACACAAAAGGAATACAGCCTTTTATCACCCGTTTATCCTTAGCGTATTAACTCTGTACATAAAATCATATTCTCAGTACAGAATAACATTTTCAGCTAGTAGACAACCCTGTCGACTCCTGAACTTCAAGCCTCAAGTCAGCACCACCTTTTACACGCTTTATGAAAACTTAGGCCAGTTTTATGGCTCAGAAGGTTTTGGTAAGTAGGGCTGCTTTGTTACAAACGGAAGAGAAGAATGTGAAGTGAGTTGCAGAATTTTGCTCTCAAATTCAACGCCAGGCTTGTTGTAAAGCTGCCAAATGTTTGTTTTTATGGTTGTGGTAGGTCTCACGTTATGAATATTTGGCTAGTTGAGAATCAGCTGGCAAACTGATGTGTTTTTTTAATGAAAATAATCAGATGCATACATTACAAGGGCCCTGCGCTCTGTAATATTTAAGGCAATAGCTCATTTGAGCTTTTATTGCAGTGATTATCAACGGTTCGGGGTGTCGTGTCTCTCATGACCATTCTAACTATTTTATGCCTAGTTTTGAATAGTGACTATTCTGACCTCTGCGTAGGTGGGGGGGTGCTCTTTTAGATCTTTAAAGGAGTCCTCTGCATAGATGTGAACTGAAAGAGCTGTCTGTGATTGGCCTTCATCTCTGTACAATACTGATTTTCATTCATTTGTTTATTTGTTTCTGTCTCTTACTATTTATGTGAATATCAACGAATATTTTCTTTATCAGATTTTGAAAACTTTACTACTACTTTGTTGTAGAAAACGACTTCTAATTTATTTTTTTGCATTGTTATTGTCTCCAGAAACATTTTCATCAAATCAAAAAAGCTGATTCTGTTAACTTCCAGCTCCATAATTGTGATTAAAAGACATCTCTGTATTATATGATCATCCATCATCAGCTGCATGGAGTGTATACGTTTAAGAAGGTTAACATTCCTGATCCTATATTTTTAACTTTCCTACTTTTAAGATTTTTAATGCCAGGTCAGAGCAGATGTCCTGTTGTTCTCGTCCCTGTCAGAATTATTGAACTGGATAAGACTTAAAAAAAATCTAAAACTTTGGGGAAAACTAAGCCATATAAGCAAACATAACATAATGTAACAAAACATAACGTTTATAACCTCATCTGACTTTGGACCAATAATAATATTTTTCTTCATTATTCCATTAGTTTGTTTGTTTGTTGTATATATGATATTTAATCCTCTATTTTAATAATCTACAAATGTTAAAAATCACCACATTAACTTAACAAGTATGCAGTACATTTTGTAGATCTGTATTGCCTTTAAAATACGTACCTAAATGTATCTAGAAGCAAAAAAAAACCAGTTTCTATCTCTGTGGAAGGAAAGACTATGGACCTAAAACCAAATGGACCTTTCTTCTTTTCCAGTTCACACAATGAACTGCCTTGTGGCTTTTAGTCCCACTCTATTCGTAATTTACTAAAACCAGTTTTTCTCCAAACACGTTTCTCTAAATTATTTTCTAAAGACTTTTTTATTTAAAGATGTTTTTCTAAATATTACCACACAACAGAAAATCCAAATGAATATCATTAAATAACCGGTAAATCAGAGATAGTTGTGCCTTTGAATGAAAACTGTAGTTGAAAGCTGGTTATTTTCTCACTTGTTTGACAGACCAGTGGAACTTCAATTAACAATCAGTGCTTCTGCCTCAGTTGTTCAGTCCAAGTATCACTTGAGGCTGCTGTGCAGTTGGACTTGATTTTCACAAGGTTAAATATTCTCTCTTCTACTTGGTCAGTCTTCTTTTAATGGGAGTGCAAGTTGTCAACATAACTATAACATTATTATGATGAAGTTCCCGATCAACTGGAAGAAACACATTCAGATTCTCTTCATCTTCTCTCTTCTTTTATTTGACTCACTGACGTGCGAACCCAGTCGTGAACGTTACCTGCGTTTCCTATATGGAAGTAGATTTGATATGAAAGTCTTCGGTTTGTTATTTCAGTAACAAACCTGCAAAGTGCACTCACAGGTTAGCCTGGTGTATGGTGGGGAAATAAGGTGGTGACTTACATGTTTTATCTGTTTTGTTTAAAAGAAAATATTTTATCAACTTAAAATGTAGTACAGTCTACATTATATTTTGTGTTCATCTAGGCATTTGTACTCCTGCAGTTACTTTTTCTGTATTCTTGCTGTTATCAATAAAATAGATAATTGTTCTATAAACAACGTTTGTGTGAGTGTGTCCTGCAGAGCGAAGCAGACTTTGAGTGCGTTTACATGCACTCAATAATCCAATCAATCAGATTTCTGCAGTTATCAGATTATTCAAATGGTCATGCAAACACCAGACTCCGATCTAGAAATCTGATTAAGAAATCTGATAAAGAGGCTGGATTTTAGCTCAGTAATCAGATTTCTCAGTGCATGTGAACTCTTACTCTGATTTCTTTCAGATTTCTCAGTCTGTGCATGTGTGAAAACAGACAGCAGTACTGGAAATAAGCGAGCAGCGTCGCCGCGAGACGCAGGAAAACACTTTTGGAGCGGCGCTGAAATCAAGGACTAAATGAAGGATTTAAGAATTCTGCATCTTCTAGATGATGTGTGTTTATTGCTGTTGTCGGAAGAAAATCTCATATCTCCAAAATGATAACTTCACAAGAGAAAGAAAAAACCTAGTTTACTTTTAATGTAAGTCAATGGAACCAGACTTTTTTCCAAGTCATTTTGGGCCGTTTATTTTGGTCCATTCATCATGAAATTTACACACAATGTAAAGAGCAACAGGCATTTTCAAATTATGTCAGAAAAAACAACAAAAATGGAGATCCAAGGTTTTGTTCCGACAGCAGCGTTATATTTATTTACAGGTATACCTGTAAATAAAACCTCTGGGTGAGAATGTAACTGCCGCACTACTTAAGGTGGAACGGGGAAAAGTCTAACAAAAAGCTGGCGAATGTCCTGAGAAAATGTCTTGAGAAAATGCTACCAGCATTAAAATTATAATTAGGATATTCTGAGAGCCGAAATCAGCTGATCAGGGGGTCAGCAGTGATATTAAGCTGAGTCTGTACTGGATCAGCCTGAGTGCAGGTACGTTTGTACAGCTTTTCAAATCAAGCTGTACAGAACGGAAAGATCTGTCATGTTTCAGTGAGTAACTGATGAACAGAGAACTGCAGGGAAAACTGCTTCTTTTGTTCTCACTTCGTCTGCCCTCAGTCTGAACATGGAAATACGCTACCAAACTGGCAAAGCGTGCTTAAGGAGGCTGCCAGTCTAATGACATCAATTCAGTGCGCACTAGCTTTAGCTTACATGATCATATTTCAACTCTTTAACGACCTCGTTATTCAACGGATCCAGTGATATTCGGGAGAAAAATGTACACAGAACAAAACACATCGGGTTCTGGACATTTTCATTTACCACAGGGGGTGACAGAGGTGATTTTCCTAAAACCCTGTTCATTCTGGCCACAGAGAAATGGGGCTTAGACCCAGAGTTCCTAATATGGGCATAAGAGCATGACTACAAAATGACAACTGTGACTACAGTGGTCTAGTCAGAGCCGTTTATGTGGAGCCTGGCCAGAGAATTTGTAGAGATGAGAATTACCACTGTGCAATGTCTTCCGGTTTTCTCAAACGCTAGGGGGCGCTCCCAAGTGAGTCCAAAATGAATGGGGTGATATGGAGCATTTGAGCAAAATCATAGTTTATAAATGCTTAAACATTTTTAATGTAAAAGAATGCGATCACTGCCTGAACACAGAGCAGCATAAAACACTTTAACACCGCTGTTATATTTTTAAGAGTTTTTAAATTCGAGTTATAAGAGTTTAAAACAGCACCTCAGGTATGCCCATGACGTCAGTGACGCGAACAGCCAATGAGCTGCTCCGCTCGCCAATCAATCATCACGCTCTAGCACTAATGCCCGCCTTCCGCTGCCCAAAACCCGTTTGCTGTAGAAAAAAGGAAACATACAGGTAAGATTTCTTTGTTTTTTTTTGTTTTTTTTTAATGAAATACATCCTTCTACTTTCTAAAATTAAAGGAAAGTTCTGGTTCAGTGATTAGAAACTTTTTTAACCTTTCGTTTTTAGTCGTTGAGTCCCATTTACTCCCATTCATTGAGGACTCACTCGCGGGCGCCCTCTGCTGTTTAGCGGTCCTGTTTTTGATATAACGGGAGGAATAGGAAGTGGCCAGGCTCCTCATAACATAAACCGGCTCTGGCCTGGCGACTTACTATTTCCCCCGTTATATTAAAAACAGGACTGCTAAACAGCAGAGGGCGCCCGAGTGAGTCCTCAATAAATGGGAGTAAATGGTGCTCAACGGCTAAGAATGAAAGGTTAAATAGTTTTTTTATCACTCGCCCAGAACTTTCCTTTAATTTTAGAAAGTAGAAGGACGAATTTCACTAAAAAAGCAAAGAAAACTCACCTGTATGTTTCCTTTTTTCTACAGCAAACGGGTTTTGGGCAGCAGAAGGCGGGCATTAGTGCTAGAGCGTGATGATTGATTGGCGAGCGGAGCAGCTCATTGGCTGTTCGCGCTCACTGACGTCATGAACATACATGAGGCGCCGCTTTAAACTCCTATAACTCGCGTTTAAAAGCTCTTAAAAATATAACAGCAGTGTTAAAATGTTTTATGCTGTTCTGTTTTCAGGAAATGATTGCATTCTTTTACATTAAAAATGTTTAAGCATTTATCAACTATGATTTTGCTCAAATGCTCCATATCACCCCATTCATTTTGGGCTCACTCGGGAAGACACTGCAGAGTGGTAATTGTCCTCTCTACAGGTTATCTGACCATATGACGTTTTGTGAGGAGACTTTTACTTTGGCAGTTCTGCCGTTTTTCTTTCCACCAGCTTTAACGCTGCCGCCTGCTTGGCGCTGAAAGCCGGCGACGTCCTGTTGTGGTCAAAGCAGAGAGCGGAGAAGATGGCAGACGGAGCTGTGGATGGAGAGAAACTGAGTAAAAAGTAGGCGAACTGCACATGCCTTTACATTCGGGGTGACAGGACCTTCACCTTATCGCTTAGACAGATTTGTGGTGGAGTTTGGCGGAGCAGTAAGAGCTCTGGAGGCTCTCCGCCTCGGAATAAAATACTTTCGGTTTAGTCAGCAGGTCGGAAGCAACGTGGTTGCTCAGCTTAGCTTAGCTTGCTGTGCTATCCAGCCGTGGTGCAAGGTTTATTAACTAGTATAGTTGTAAACATATACTGAGCTTAGTTGGTCGATCCGCCACGATAAAAACAAAATGATCCATATCACTATAACGTTAGTATGGATGGGTTTAGGTGTCAGTTCGCGTTGTTAGCTATGTCAGCTAACCGCAGCATGAAGCGGAGCACTGATTAGTGTGTTTGAGGACTTCTTCTGTTTCCTGTTTGACTTTCTAGTCTCTATTCGGGTTACCTAACGGGAAGAGAGGCTTTGTGGAGGTCTTGGGACCCTCATATCACACATAAGGACTATTTTTAGGCAGTAATGATTAAAATATTCGTTATTCTGCCCTCATGTGCATGAAGTGTTACCTAACGTGTTCAGCTGCACCATGACTCGCTGCTAACCTTCCACACGGAAACCTCCAGAGAGGACAAGTACAGCTATGTTTAGTAACACAGTAAGGCACAAAACAGCCCTGACACCGGCAGCCTAGGTTATTTTTTAGACTGGCCTAGCTAGTGTTGTTTTGGTGGTGCTGAAAAGTTAGTAGACCTTCTCTTGGCAAAGCCCCAGTTCGTCAAGGTTAGTAACTGCTTTAATAATGAATAATGTTGAGACGTGTTGCAGTAAACATAACATCACTGATAATCATGACACTAAAACGACAAGACTAGCAGGTCAGAAGCGAGATGAGCAGGTTTGCAGCTTGGCCTTCGGGCTGGACGGCTGGTCAAATGCGAAAGTGAAATTATAGTGCACACCTGCCTCCATTGTTCTATTCCAGCTGTGTGGCTGATGTAATTTGACAGCATTGTTGGTTCAGTCATCAAGTAAGGTTGCTCAGTGGTGAGAGGTGGAACAAGACCACTTTTTCCTGATCTCAATATTTAAACTTTGAGTATCAACCAATGCTCAGTTTATGTTTCTTTAAAAGCTACTAAACTTCAAGCTTTTGTTTTTTTTTAATTAAAGCACTTTATGAAAATTAGCATCTAAAAGTAGCCCAAAAGTAGCGCACTTTGCACTCTAGGACCCCACAAGGAGAACAGCACAGATAGCATCACATCAAACAATGCACAGTCAGGTGTACACATTTGAACATACCTGGTAAAATTATGTTATGTTGATTTTTAAGTGAAAGTAAGTTAGCACATTTATACCGGTAACAAACTTACATATGACATTTTCTACTAATTCTAGTGCACAGTTTTTATTTATTTTCTGAGTTTAATATACTGGAAAAAATCAAAGATAAATGTGCCATAACTTTTGCACAGGTCAGATTTTTAATTTTTAATTACATATATACACCGATCAGGCATATCATTATGACCACCTCCTTGTTTCTACACTCATTGTCCATTTTATCAGCTCCACTTACTATATAGGTGCACTTTGTAGTTCTACACTTACAGACTGTAGTCCATCTATTTCTCTGCGTACTTTGTTTGCCCCCTTTTACCCTGTTCTTCAGTGGTCAGGACCCTCATGGACCCTCACAGAGCAGTGGATCAGACACAGCAGTGCAGATGGAGTTTTTAAACACTGTGTCCACTCACTGTCCACTCTGTTAGACACTCCTACCTTGTCAGTCCACCTTGTAGGCGTAAAGTCAGAGACAATAGCTCATCTGCTGCTGCACAGTTTGTGTTGATATCTGATGCAGAATCTCCTGCTCATGTCAGCCCAATACCCGTTGATACCGATATGCCATCTCTAACAGTGATATATGAAAGTGATGGGCCCGAGGGCTGGCTTGAATGTGACCTGTGCGTTTTCTTGGTTCATTAAAATAGGACACACTCAGCATGTTGACCCTGGTCAGAGCAGCCAGGCAGCAGGTGTGCCATGCCATTGGGTTGCGGGCTCAGACGTTTGTTCCCCGCTGTCAGCAAACCGTGCCATTGCTTATTCAAGGATGTCGCTGGAGAGGTGACAAAAGGTTGGTGGTGTTTATATCTAATGTGAATAAACAACCAACCTTTTGTCACCGTAGTAATTAATGCTTTATGTGTTTTGGATCGTCAACACTGTTTCTTTAAGATCACAAGACCTCCAGTCACACCGCTGTTTCCTTTTGTGGTTTCAGTGAGCTGAAGAGGCGCATGAAAGCGGAGAAAAAGGCTGCCGAGAAGGAAGCTAAGGTTAAAGACCAGCTGCAGCAGAATAAGGAGACCAATGACAAGGCTCAGCAGGAGGCATATGCGGCTGATGAGGAGTCCTTGGACCCCAACGTAAGTCAGGTTTTTGTCTTATGGTTGCATAAATCACACTTTTGTTTCAAACGTCTGTATTCTAATACACCTCTGTCGTTGTAGCAATACTTCAAGATACGCACGCAGGCCGTTCAGGCTCTGAAGGGGACCGCAGAAGACCCCTATCCTCACAAGTTTCATGTGGACTTGTCGCTTACTGACTTCATCGAAAAATACAACCACCTTCAACCAGGGGACCAGTTAACAGATGTACTCAGTGTGGCAGGTACATGGCTTGAAGGTTTTGCCTAGAGTTTTGGAATTTAGGCAGTTTGTTTTGGTTGTGTCTGAGCTCTCAGTGAACTTAATTAAACTTCATAAAACTAATTGCTTATCAGGTCGTGTCCATGCCAAGAGGGCCTCAGGTGCCAAATTACTCTTCTATGACCTGCGAGGAGAGGGGGTTAAGCTGCAAGTCATGGCAAATTCCAGGTCTGCCTTTATGCACTGCACTATTATAAAATGAGCAATTCATCACTATCATAAATAATACCCTGTAATTTTTATGATACTTTTCACAGCAAAACATATATCAGGATACCATTTGATTGTATTTTCATGACAGTTGGAGCAGTATAAATGGTCAAAATGACTTGGAATAAAGTCTTGTTGCATAAGTGTACATTACATAAATTTTACATCAGAGTTAAGACTGTTTTTGCCTTGCTTGGGATGCTTGACATAAGAATACAGAGCCAAAATGTGTTTGCTTTGCAAGTAATTTGGTTAGGTAATTTACATAAGCAGTGAAGATTCCTCAGGGCCTCCTAAGCCTTCAGAAAAAGCCTAATGACTGAAAAAAATTGGTGCGTTTTTAACAGTTTCATCATTTATGGCCTGGACTGAAGACTTAGCTAGTCTAGTAATAGTCTTGGTTTGCCACTGTAACACACAGATATTTTTTCGGTTGTCTTCTGTTGTCTTCGTGCCGTTTCCAAGCATGTAAAATCAGTGTCATCTGTAAGTGTTTGCCCTCTGCTGCCTTTTTCAGGAATTACAAATCGGAGGAAGACTTTGTTCACATCAACAATAAATTGCGGCGTGGTGACATTATCGGTGTCCGTGGTAACCCTGGGAAGACAAAGAAGGGAGAATTGAGCATCATACCAATTGAGATGACCCTGCTGTCTCCATGTCTGCACATGCTTCCCCACCTCCACTTTGGCCTGAAAGACAAGGTCAGTTCTGGAAATCCCTCCATTAGCCTGATGATGGGTCATTAATAAAGTGAAACTGCGCTGCGTTTGGCAGCTTCAGCTGATTGCAGGCCTGTTTTGAAAACACCTTTAACCTTTTATTCACCAGGGTATATTTTGGTTTATCCATCTGAATTTACATGACCAAATCGTAAGGCAAATTATTCAGTAACTGCATGAAAGAAATGTAAATTTTTATTTTATTTATTCATTTATTTTTTGTAAAAGTTCCCCTCAAATTAACAGAACGTTTTATGATCATACACATATTGCTATATGCATGCAATTTACTGCTGAAAGCCAAAAATCTTAGATGCTCTTAGTATTTTTTATAAAAATAATTTTTACAGAGTATATGACTGAAGAGACGCCATCGACTTTCATTAGACAAAAAAACTTGAGTTCAGCTTCTTTTATTGTAAGGGTTTAAAATTTTACATCACCCATCTATTTGACTGGGAAGAAGACAGTTTCAGCTCTCATACGACCCCCACCTTTTGAATGTAGCTTATGAAATATGAAAGTTATGAAGAATATGACGAAGTGCGTATTGGAACCACCAGTGGTCTCAAGGAGTTGAAAAGGTTAACGGAGGATATATTTGACCTCAGTTAATGTTTTCAGGGGTGAACAAGGTATATTGTCATTATAGTGATTTTGATTGTGGGCTGTGTTCAGTAATCTTGGTCCATCTTTGTGGCAGGAAACACGATACCGTCAGCGATACTTGGACTTGATTCTCAATGACTTTGTGAGACAGAAGTTTGTGACCCGGTCCAAGATCATTACTTACCTGCGCAACTTCTTGGACCAGCTTGGTTTCCTTGAGGTAAGTCTACACTCTGCAGGCCAAAAAGCAGTAATAATGATGTTAAAATGTGCAAGACTTTTCTTAAGACGCAGATGTGGATGGACTGCTCTGTAAACATTTGCTGTGTATTTGTGTGCCGCAGGTTGAGACTCCAATGATGAACTTGATTCCTGGAGGGGCAGTAGCTCGACCTTTTGTCACCTACCACAATGAACTTGATATGAACCTTTACATGAGGATTGCCCCAGAGCTTTACCATAAGGTACAGTAGCATGCTCCTTATGGAGTATTGAAGAATTTGTGATCATTCCAGGCAAGTGGAATGGCACTCATGATGGATGTTTGTCTCTTTAGATGCTGGTGGTTGGAGGAATGGACCGTGTCTATGAGATTGGTCGTCAGTTTCGAAATGAGGGCATTGACCTCACCCACAACCCAGAGTTCACCACCTGTGAGTTTTATATGGCCTATGCTGACTATCATGACCTGATGGAAATCACAGAGAAGCTTCTTTCAGGTTTGTCCTCCTGCCACCACACAAATTCTATTCCATTTAAAAGGTTTTGTACAATGCTGAAATATAAATGGCCTGGGGATAAAAACAAAAATAAATTTGAGCTCATGGTCATCGAGGTTGTTTTTATTTTGCTGTATTTTGCTGTTATTTTGAGTAAAATATGTTGGTAGCTGCTGCAAATTTGTGTCCATAAAACCCAAAGAATGGCTCATGTTCTGAATGAGGTGATTTGCTTGTAACTGAAATGGGATAAGTTATCCAATGTTCCTGTTTACATGCAACCAATACCAATTTTAATGAGCAGTCAATCTCCAATTAGTCAAAACTAACCTTTTTATTCATAGAAGAGAGCTTTGTTTTTGATGAGCTTTAAAATATAGAAGTTGGGTTGTTCATATACAGTACGTGTGCTCTGCTTGTTCTACCCAAAATATTATTTCAACACCGGTCTTATGTAAACACTTTGTTGCATCCTTTTAACACACATTTTTCAACATAATTAGAATGTTGAAAGGACCCTCTGACCAAAATGGAAATAAATAAACAGCAACAAACAATGTGGTTGGTGGAAAACATGCCTACTCGCCTCCTACATTGGTGCCACAATAGTCTCTAGTGCAAGATTTTCCTGTTTAACCCATTAAATGGCCAGGGTCTGCCGGCGGACCCAAAGTTTTATTACACTAAGAATAGCTCAACCAGTTTGCACTGAAGTCTGTTTTTACTGAATAATAAGCCTTTTATGTGTAATAAACCTGGGATTATGGGGTTAAGGACTCAGGAAACCCCTCCTACAGATGATGTCTTGAAGGTGGAAGGAACTTCTGAAAAACTACTTGACTGCAGGATGTTTGATATGTTTGTTTTATTTATTTTTTCCCCGCTACCTTGATAATGCCTAAGGAAGCCAGATAGCTAATGTTACTGCTAGGAAGCAGAATATCACGTCTGTGTTTATCAGCCTTTACATCAGTGGATTTTAATCGGCATGGGTGGAATTTCAGTAGTTGTCCAATGCATGCCTAATGGGTATTGTAGTGAGACAACATTGGTAGACAAAAACAAACACTACTCAAAACAAAAAACAAAACTCTACACAAAAAGGATAGAAAATCATGGGTTTTGACAAACCAGTGAGACTGAGGGATGCAGTGCTGTGCTACGGCATAATATATACCAAGGCCAATAAAATTAAGCTAGTTTTATGTTGGAATGCTCCTTTAATTTTGTGGAAATGTTGCTGTTGTATACCAAACAATGCTTTACATTTAAGAACTAAATGTTTTCTTCATCTCTCTCAGGAATGGTGAAGCATATCACTGGAGGCTACAAGGTGACTTACCACCCTGATGGACCAGAGGGACAGGCCTATGAAATTGACTTCACTCCACCTTTCAGAAGAATAAGCATGACTCACGACCTAGAAAAAGAGATGGGTGTGAAGTTTCCAGCTCCTGAAACCTATGATTCTAATGGTAAAACTAAAATACATGCTATACTAGCCAAGGATTAAAGAAGCATACATTGTAGTCCAGTTGAACCGTAGTATGTTGGATACTATAGGCAACTCTGTTTTATGTAGAAAGATTGAGGTAAGTCACAGTACCTTTACTTTTTTATGTGCAGAAACTCGCAAATTCTTTGACGATCTGTGTGTCCAGAAAGGAGTGGAATGTCCACCTCCCAGAACGACCGCTCGTCTGCTAGATAAGGTACTTCACTGCTTAGTAGACAGTTGTAATAGGTGTTTCGTTTTCTATATGAAGTTCTCAGTGAATGTAGATTACTAGAGCCTATACATTTAAAAACACTAATTTCAATCAAAAGTGTACAAATAGTTCAGTCTTTGTAGTTTTTCCCATTGAAGCATACTCATCTACAATGTTTTGACCTACTATTGTATCGCAGTTGGTGGGAGACTTTCTGGAGGTGACGTGCATCAACCCAACATTCATTTGTGACCACCCTCAAATCATGAGCCCCCTGGCAAAATGGTGAGTGCTTGTTGTGCTCCTCAGCTGCCAGACTATAGAACTCTTTTACTGTTCCTTTTTACCATCTGTGATCAGAAATGATCTGCTTGAAAAGTTATTGTTGATTTGCTCTCCACCATGTCTGCTCAGGCACAGATCACAGAAAGGGCTGACCGAGCGCTTTGAGCTCTTTGTCATGAAGAAAGAGATCTGCAACGCCTATACCGAGTTGAACGACCCAATCAGGCAACGAGAGCTCTTTGAACAACAGGCTAAGGTGAAATATTTCATTTGAAACAACTGTAGGAGGTAGATGGCAATGTATGCAGATATTGGTTCATGTGAGACTTATCCTGTATCCTCCTTTAGGCCAAGGCAGAAGGTGATGATGAGGCTATGTTCATAGATGAAACATTCTGCAGTGCGTTAGAATACGGCCTTCCGCCTACTGCAGGCTGGGGCATGGGTATCGACCGCCTCACCATGTTCCTCACAGACTCCAACAACATCAAGGTACTTGCACAGTTCTATACAATAACATATTTTTTTGTGAATTATGATTTGCTCAACTGTTGAATTGGGTTTTCAAGTCAGACTCAACCAGGATCACATTTTTAGAACTATTTCTCGTGAAGTTTCTTATGGCTGATTATTCAGGATTGGAGGGTAGACAGTCTGTTATCTTGTGAAGTGACTTGCTGATCATTCAGGTGTCAAACATGGCACATAGTAGTTCAGGTTTTCTGCAGTGTGAGCCTGGACTTCATATGCTGTCATAGGCTGTTATATCTGGTATAAAGTGGTTTTAAATGGCTTAAAATGCTTCATCACTCCCTGGTTCACTGATTAGGGCTGAGTGGGGAAAAAAAAGTTTTCGTGATTAAAACGTTTCTCTGCTGTTCTGCACCACTGACTGCTATTCAGACAAAGCCAGCAAGGGCTCAGGCTCAAGTTTTATTAAAAAAGCAACTTAAATAAAAAATGCAATTGTGCAGAATGATAATAAAAAATATTTATTGTAATTGTTATTAACAACCACCACCGACAATGATAAAAATAATGGCAACAATTTTTGCTTATTCATGCCAGTTCATCCCATCCATTATTAAAGTGAAACATCTCTTTTCTTTTCTTTTGTCATAGAATATTTGAATATTCGATCAAATAGCAACAGAAAGTAATGTTTGCTTGCTCTACACAGATTGTAGCAAACATGTGGAAGACTTCAGAGTTTTGTACTGAAATTACCATCTTAATTTCTTTTGTAATTGTGTTGCAGGAGGTCCTTTTCTTCCCTGCCATGAAGCCTGACGATAATAAGCCTGTCCCTCCAGCAGAGGGAACTTCAGTTTAACACTGACCTTCGATGCCACCTGCTGAGAAATCAAAGTCATTCTGATGAAATATAGAGATGATTCGTCCATACAGGGGTTCTCGCTTCCGCCGAGCTGTTCAGGTTACTGTTAAGATTGGGGTTTATATCTGCAACGTAAAAGGCTTTTCACATTCAGTAAAAAGGGAATGGTCTCTACATTTTTCTCTTCAAATGCACAAAGTTAGGCAGGAACAGTGAACCCTATTTTACTGTCGCTGTTGCCTGTTGTCTCTTCCTCACATCAATTTATGGGCTGAAGCAATTAAGCAGATTCAAATTCGGCCATACTTTTGATGTTATACTGGTTTTAATACCTACTGTCCACTCTTTTTTTAATAGTCCTCACAATGGTCATAGAAATAAACCTGTAAGTGCATAATAAACTATCTATGGTATTTTATTTGATGGTGTGGGTTTTCAGTATTGATCATATTTTGGCTGCACGTGGCACATGTGGTGGGTAGATAGCCTGCATTTATAAACCTATACTGATCATAACGCATGATAAGTACTTATTTAGTACAAATAAACCATTTTAATATAAAGAAATAACTTGGCAAACAGTGTGGTAAGGTTAAACTTAAAATACTTAAAAATGCCTAAAGATGGCACAACTCTTCTATTTCTACCAGGTGTGCCGCTTTCCCATAGCATCGCCTTTAGCTTGTCTTTGAACGATTTTTCTTAAGGAAAATGTGAGCTTGAACAAATCAACCATGAACTAAACTTCCCCTTTTATTTCTGTAACTATTCTGCCTTAAACAGAGCTGGGTAGACAAGCCTAAAACTGCACTCATGTAAATATATTGTTACGTCAATAAAATGACGAGTAGAATAAAAAATGGCGATAAAAAAAATTGAGAATGAGTGAAAAAAATGTCGGTTCAAGAACTCAAGTTCTGAATTCCCTACAGGACTGCAGTGGAATTTGTTAGCACATCCAACATCATCATAGGAACTGAAGTTAAACTCTTCTTTTTTTGTTGGATGCTCGTGGAGCTCTAAAGTGAGAGGTGTCGGTAACAGCAAAGCAGTCCAGGTTCTGTCACAAACAGACCACAATGAAATTCGACCCAAAAAAGGTGTTAAGAACTCAAGGTGGACTAAAATTGAACTGAGTAAAGAGCAGCTTCCTCACAAACCTGAGTTTAAATAATAGCATTGTAATTTTACTTTGGAAAAACCCCATAAAAGAGCAAATCCATTTGAACTGGATGGCACAGGAATGGTAGCAGGTATCATTAGTGAACTGCTATAGGCAGAAAATGCTGGATCAGAAATTGGAGGGTTTAAAAAAGAATGAATCTGATCTGTGACTGTAACAAATCTTGTCTGAAATAGTACTCCCACATTTTGTGATGCTGTTAGCTGTGTATTTCTTGCTATAGGGTAATAGAGTGAGTAGATTAGGCATGATGGTTTACTTTCAGATGCTTGTGTTTCAATTAAAAAATGGCTCTTTTTAAAGAAGAATTGGTATAATTGAGGTTTCAATATCAGGATTGGAGAAGACAAAAATCTCTAAATATTTTAGTATAGTGTAAATGAGTACATGAAACTAATTACCTCCACCTCTGAACTTTGGTAATGAAGATGTGCTGCTGTTTTTGGGGACTAACTTGTGTTTGTGAATGAAGCCTTCATAAACAGTCACCTTATACTGTTTCCACTGAAGATTGAAGAGGGCTGTGACTTTGGTCGTATTGGCTGAAAAGCAGTCGTGATGTGGGCCTTTCATGGGACGTTGTTGGATCTCTCCACAGCAGATTAAAACATCATCATAAGCTTGTTTTGTACCACAAATAAAGTGAAATTGGCAAATCATATATTTTTACAGAGAAGTGGACAATGGAGTCTGTTTTGTTTCTAGAGCTAAACTGCAAAAAATAGATGCTGTTGCAGAGCTTGTATGTTTACATTTAAAAATGTTTTATATTTTATTTTTACACTGTAAAAAAACACTTTAGCAAGTAAAAACATCTTAAATGTAGTTATCTTACATTTTTCATAATGAGATTGTAAGAATATTATATGATCTAACTTATTTCTAGACATTTTTGTATTTAATTAAAATGTCATTCCATTGTTAGTTCATTTTGCTTGATTAAGCAGTATAATAATTATTATAATAAGCAGCAAAATGATTATTGTTAATATCTTAAACATTATTGTTACTATTATATTTTATATATCATTTTTTTAAAATTGTGTTCAATATTTCTCCAATCAAGTAAAATGATGTGCCAATGGAATGTAATTATATATATATATATATATATATATATATATATATATATATATATATATGTATATGTAAAGGACCACTTGCTCCCCCTTAGTATTAGTCCAGGGACCACCAGAGTGTGCTTCCCGGTGGTCCACGGCCCGCTGATTGAGGAACCCTGATTTAAACCCATCTTCACATGATGATCTGCTGTAGTTGTTGTAACGCGGGAGCGCGCGCTTCCCACGCGGTCAAGAGCATCGGTCTGTGATGGGAGGTCCGACTCAGCCTTACCGAACCGACTCTCAAACTGTTCTTTTTTAATGAATCAAACGACCGATTCAGTGATTCACTGATTCAAGTAAAGTCAACTTTATTTTCAAGTCACACTGAATCCCGAGCTCCGTTGCTGCTGCTCGCCAGGCAGACTCGTAGTTCATTAGAGGCACGAATATGAACGAAACTGAAGCCAGTTACAGTATTTTATGAGCCGATTCCATGAGGTTAAACTAAAAGATTAGTATTCGATTTATATTATTAAAGGGGAATTTCACCTACTTTTCTAAATTTCAAAATAATTAAGTCTTTGAGATGTTAATAGGTTAATAGGAGAAACTTGCAGATTCCGATTTCTTTACAGTGGTGGTGATAGGAACCAGGAGTCTACAATATAAATACAGCCATTTTATTTACTATCCAAAACCTACACGTGTCTTCTGAGCTTTTATAATATAATGTTAATGTTCAAAATAGTCAGAAATCTGAAAAAAAAAAAATTATTATATTTCAGTTTGTTTTTCTTACATTTTACTTATTTACTTTCTGTAGAGTGATTAGCTGAGCCTCACCACAAGCATTTCAATGCATAAATGTCCTGACATGTTGTGCAAATGTCAAATAAACTTGAAACCTGAACTTGAATTAAATGGATTCAGATACAAAACCTCAGCACAAAACTATCATTCTGACTCGGTAAGTATCTCTGGAACAGAGCATTTCTCACCAAACCACTCTGAATGGCTTTGTTTACAACTCAACCATTTAATTGTGTAGAATTACCGCTGGATTTCCTCTTTACGTATTGAGTCTGTAACACGTACGTAAACAGCGCGGCGATGCTACGAAGATTTTCCACTCGGTGCGGACTCGTGATTCGGTTCGACTGAATCATTGAAAAGAACCGATTCAGCAGAACGATTCGTTGACGAGTCGGACGTCGCTACCTGTTATTTCATCCAAGCCCAGCAGAGCAGCTGAAGATGGCGATGTGCGCGGCGCTCCGGCGCTTCTCCTCAAACTTTCCCGCAGTTCTGCCGCTGCTTTCGGGACCCGCGCGCGTCCCCTCGCGCCACACCGTCCGGAGGGCGACCGGCTGGAGGGCGTTCAGCGCGAGCTCGCGGCTCGAGGAAGGTAACAAAACGCGTTTTAGTCAGACTGAAAGGTCCAGCTACTGGACCATGGACTCGCCAGCACAGCGAGACTGGACGCTTTTTTTATTTCTTATTTATTCTGTCTGACGCTTTAAACTTCAAGTCTTAATTCGCTCAGTGTCCACGCTGGTCACTTAACACGGTTTTAGTCACGTCACAACAAACATGCATAAGCCTCTGTGTTTGATATGTAAACGAGTCATCAGCTCAGTCAAGTTTTTCAAGTTCTCGTGTTCTTGTACAAGGCGAGTCACGGCGTGTCGTGGATTAAACTGATCTTTTATTAAACTCAAGTTTTAACGAGGCTTAAGTCAGCCTCTTATTCGACTTTTCCCGTTCCACCTTAAATGGTGCAGCAGTGACATTCTGACGCCAGGCCATTAAGCGGGCGCATAGGAAGCTGACCAAGTTTTGCACGGTCCACTTCAACCAGCCAACTTACAGGCCTGGGTTTAAACCTCTAAGTACGTCTCCAGTGTTGCACTGTAGTGTTTGATGAAATTTCCTAATAAATAGTAGGATTAGGTTGACATGTCAGGTCATGCTGGCAGTAATGACTGGCTTAGGTAGGGACTTAGTTCAGTATGGGTTAATAATGTGGGACTCTAGTACTCTGTTAGCCATGTGGGCTGAACTCTCCCTCTTAGTGGAGCTCAGTAAACTTAGTCACAGAGCTCTCCACATCTCACGCTGGTCTAGAAAACTGATCAAATCAGTGGAAGACTGGTGAAAATGAATCAGACACTCCATCCTCTTATATTGCAGTAGCCTGTGTTGGATTTATTTTTCATAAAATTCAGTCTCCCCTGATGCAGCACTGCGCTGCTTCTGAAAAAACAAGAAATTCCTCCCACTCAGCTCGGATCTGAAGGCACAAAAGGGGGCTGCCTCCCACAGCCATGTCCCAGTGTCCTTACTGTTCACAATCTGGTTTAAACCTGTATTTTTCTGCATGGGCTGATGCTAGCGTGGGGAACTGTTGAGGCATTTAATTGCCCCTCAGGGAATCCTAAACAGGCCTGCACTTGACGGTCTTGTTTTTATCCCAAGATCTTTTGATTCACATTAATGATGCTTTATTATTCAGATGTGGAAGAGGAATTAATTCGAAATCAGGGAGTGTCTGTGTCTCATCTCTTTTTATACCGGCGAACCTGAAGGTGTTTGGGTTATTGAGAAATTTCTTTTACTGGGTTAAAGTGGGGACATTAGCTTCTTATGAGGGCTCGTGATTTGAGCAGGGTGCCTAATTCAGTTTTAAGTTCAGCAACATAACTGTTCAGTTTTTAGATGGGAAACTAATGAGGAGGAGGCGCTCTAGGGTCTGCTGTGTTGCACAAGACCTTCTGGCCTCTGTCCAGAATACATTAAAGCGTCCTTTGAGCCGTAATACACTTGAAAGGCACTGATTGTCAGAGAAAATATTGTGCCTCTGCTGGTCAAGTTTGACCGTTAATGACTGCCTTGTGTTTCTTTTGCTGTATCTCAGTAAGAAATGGCACAGTTTGATGTGACTGCAAGAGGTTCTGTCTTTTGCAAGCATTTCATCTTCATTACTGCTAAGCATGAGGGCAGCAGTGAAAGCTACTCCGGATTTCCCAGTTCTCATTATGCAAAGGGACAGATTTCACAGATCATTAAAAAAAAATCATAATTAAATAGGTAAGATGTAAATATGTCAAATGCTCCGTTCTAAAGAAACTTGCCGAGTCAGCATTGTTCATGGCGGTGGTGATAGGAAACGTCTGAAGCGTTTATTATCTCTCAGATCTGTCTTACAAAAAGTTACTACGCTAAGTGCAGATGCCTGAAACACTGATAGTTTGATACCAAAACGTGTTTTGTAAAATCTGCTTGGTTTTCAGGTGCATGCAGGGGGCTTTATGACAAAATAGTAGCTAAGGAAATCTTCTTTTCAGATTTACTACTATTTTACCTTCATCAACATTACATATAAAGCTCAGAAGTAGTTTTGGACTGTAAATAAAATTTGACATTACGACCCCTGGTTCCTATCACCACCACTGTAAAGAAAAGCAGAGTCGGTGATTTTCTCAGTGCACCATTTCACATCAGACCAGTCTGACTTCTACATCTCAATGATTGAATATAATATAAAAAATCAGTGGAATCTTTTCTCCGTTTGTTTTGGAAATCCATTGGATGCTGTGTTTTTCTTTTAGCTTTTAGTCTTGCTAGAGTCTAGACAGACAGACAGACAGACAGACAGACACTTTATTAATCCCGAAGGAAATTTAGCAGCCAGTATCAGTCACACAACACAGGACAGTAATAATAATAAGGGTGAAACAATATAAAAAGAAGAATAAATACAAAAAAACAATCTACAGGCATATATACCAATAGAAATATACAAGAATCTGCAATAAGATCTATAACCTAAGATAAAAAAGGCAGTACAATAACAGCATATAATGACAATACTGAATAGATATGTGCATATATTGATACTGAAATAAAGTGTTTAGGTGTGGAGTGTCCAGATGTGCAATATGCGTGGTAGGGGTTACAGAAAGTACAATATGTACAGTAAGGTGACCATAGAGTCTTTAACTGGTCAGTTGTGTTAAGCCTCATTGTTTGAATCAGTGTTAAATGCATAAAAAGAAATACAGTACTGCCCACTGAAGTATTTCAATAGGAAGAATAGATTCATAACGAAATGTATGTATGACAAATGTGCTTTCTCTGGTTTCTGCAGCTCTCAGATTCACAGACAAACATGAGTGGGTACGAGTAGAAGGGGGTATCGGCACAGTCGGCATCAGCAATTTTGCTCAGGTACATTACTCAAGTCAATAATTAGGTATGACTTATCAGGCCATTTTACAGTGTTACTGTAAACAGTGTTTACACTCTACTTTTTCAAGTGTTTAACTAATTTAGCCCTTTAATCTTCTAAAGCTCTGCCCTTTGTTCCTTGCCCTGTACCTATTTTGTGCAGATTGTCATGTTTTTTTTCCTCCCCTGCGTTAACCACAGGAAGCACTAGGTGATGTAGTATATTGTGGACTGCCGGAGGTTGGTACAAAGCTTCAACCAATGGGTGAGAACTGATGTTATTTGACGTTTATATTTCATGTCCCCTATTTTCTTAGTTTTGAGCTGCAGCATCATGGGACATCTCTCCTTGTCTTTCAGAGGAGTTTGGTGCTTTAGAAAGCGTGAAGGCTGCTAGTGAGTTGTACTCTCCATTGACTGGAGAAGTAACTGAGGTCAACACAGAGCTGACCGAGAACCCCGGACTTGTCAATTCATCCTGCTATGAGCGTGGTGAGTGTCTGCTGTTAGCTAAAAGGGAAAACCTAAGTGGCCCTCGTCTGGTTCTCTGATGCACTCCTTAATTCTTTCTCCTGTCTTCAAGGATGGTTGATTAAGATGACCATAGAAAACCCTGGAGAACTTGAAGCCCTCATGGATGAAGCTGCTTATGAAAAATACGTCAAATCACTTGAGTGATCTGTTAAGTCTGCTTCATTTCCAGTATTAGTCACAACGAGTCTTTGCCAAGTCAGAAAACACTGTAAATTGCTACCATTAGAGATTGTACTAATAAAATTCTATGAAGTATATTTATCCTGAATTTGTAGTTGTTTCACCGTGCTGCTCGTCTTTTCTTATTGTAACAAAGTTCTTATGGCTTTGTACAACAGGTAGCCATATATTTCAAAGAGCTTTTTACAGGCTCCATTGAAAAACTCAGACCAGTTTCAGGTGTTTTCACTGAGCTGGGAAAAGTGATGAATGCTGAATGTTCTCAGTGGCATTTGTTAAAAATAAAATGAGGCCCAAAAGGATAATAATTACACTATTGGACCATTTTGTATCTGTATCTGGAAAGGCTACACCAAGTATCTTCAGTTTTTCATTAAGACTCTTAGTCAAGAATCTTTTGAAATGAAACTTGCTTTTTTGATTTGAAGTTGTAAATTCTGTACATTTTATTAATAAATTAATAAATCTAGGGGTGGAATGATGCACTCAGCCCACAGCTCCATTAAATTCACTATATTGGGTTTACAATTCAGCAATTTCATCATAAAGAAAAAATGATAACTATAATCATGTTGTTGCTTGTTGTTAGTTGGTGCTGATCGTTTGCAAACGTTGGCGTTCGAGCAGTTCATATGGCATAATAGAACGTTTGTCCTCCATGATGCGCATTATCATGTTTTTAAACGCCTAGTTTGATGTTTAAGATGTAAACAGTGTCGTTCAGGGTGTTTTGATGTAAAATGCTTTGCTTTAGAGAAAACATACTAAGTCAGAATGTCCGAAAAGTGTCTGCAGAAGCTCCCTCACAGAAAGACGTGTATATTAAATTGTTATCAATATGTTGCTGAGACATGGTTTTATGATATGATATTTTGAAACTGTTTTGGTCCAGGTTATTTTAAAATCCATTCACAGTGGAACATGCAGGGCATCATAAGGCAAAATTGTACCCAAAGGAAATTTACTGTTATTTTACCATTATCAACATTTTATTATAAGACGTCAGAGGACACGTGTAAGTTTGCTGGTGGTTTTGGAGAGTAAATAAAATGGCTATATTTGTGTTGTAGACATTGTGACCCTTGGTTCCCATCACCACCACTGTAAAGAAATCATAATATGTGAGTTTCTCTGCAGTGAACCATTTCACACCAGACTCTGACTTATCTTTACATCTCAAGGACTGAATTATTCTGGAATTTAGAAAAAATTGTCAAATTCCTGTTTAATAATAGAAATCAAATACTAATCTTTTAGTTCATAAAATACTGTAGCTGGCTTCAGTTTTGTTTATATTAGTGTCTTTCTAATGTACATACAGGTCCGTCTACATTAGTGAGCAGAAGTAATGGAGCTCAGGCTCCAGTGTGACTAGAAGAAAATAAAGTTGACTTTACTTTTGAATTGATGAATCAATGAATCAGTCGTTTGATTCATTAAAAAAGGTTCGGTAAAGCTGAATCAAACTTCCCATCACTAACAGGCTGATGCTTTTGACCGTGTGGGAGCCGCGCTCCTGCGTTAACAGTTACATTTCAGATCAAACTCTGAATTGGAGAGTTGCAGGAATGTGGTTATGTGGATATGTGTTTAACCCTTGTGTGGTGTTGATGTGTTTGTTACTCTGTGGTCTGGTGGACCCACCACATTATTGTTTTTAAATCAATACAGCCATAACACTTTATGTTAAAAATACCAGATGTTTAAAATATCACAAAGTGTCCAGTGTAGGGTTCTCCTTTAGCAGCTGTAGCCAGTCAGCAGCCTGTCCATGTTGTCCACCTTCACACACACAGACACATAAATAAACACACACACACACACACACACACACACACTCACTAACAGCAGGCCATGTAGGAGGAGAACAGAGTGAAGGACACAGCACCTCCACGCTTTTATTCCCCACGGGTTCACCCAACACCACATGTGTAATATAAATGTGTGGGAGGTGAACAGAGTGAAGACACTGAAAATGGGTTATTTTATATGTTCTTCACAGAAAATGAGCAAAGGACAAGGAATCTGAGGTTGATAATAATAAATCACATCATTTTTTCCTTTGGTAAACATTGAAAATGGGTCCCACAGACCTGAACACCACACAAGGGTTAAAAAAAGAACTAAATCAGGTGCCTCATATTTGACTTTGAGTAAACTAGCAATCACTTCTACTGTACAGAACACCAAAGTTATCTATTGCTGAATGTGGAGCAGGGATAGGAGACGCACTGTGCTGCACTCGAGCACTGTGCACCTTGACCTTTGCCTTTAGATTAACATGGAGATGAGTTTCACAGTGCGAGGATTATTAATGATTAATGAAGCGGTGAGCAGAGTCTCTGTTTTAGAAGAACATTGGTTCTAATGAATTACTCATTTTAACGCTGAGTTTTTAAACAAAAATTCAACTTGTGGCTTTGGTAAATCAGAGGGGTTCAAAGTATACCAAATGTCCAAAAGTATCCAGCCACCTAATCTAATTAGTGAATTCAGCTACTTTAAGTTTGCACCCATTGATGACAGGGGTGTTCAGTTGCACACAAGGCTTGTATAATCTCCATAGGAAATCTTGTAGGCTCTCAGTAGACCCTCTGGGTTTCCCTGGAGCAGGCGCACATGAGCCTATGGTCACCATGTCCAATGTCAAGCGTGGGCTAGAGGGGTATAAAGCCCCCCAGCACTGGGCTGTGGAGCAGTGGAACTGCATTCTCTGGAGTGATGAAACTCCATCCAGTAACTTTGGGATGAGCTGGAGTGCCATTTGTGATCCAGAACTAATCTTTCAGCATCAGTACCTGACCTCACTACTGCTCTTGTGGCTGACTGCAATCAAATCCTCACAGCAATGTTTAGTGTTACTACCACCACTTTTCCTGGTTTCCTCAGAGGGAGGAGCTTAGACACTAGGAAAAGAAATAAGGATGAATGATTGAAGATATGAGATCCACCTCATGAGAACAGAACAGGCCTGATGCCCACAGTGGTGGTTCTGTTATGTTGTCAGGGGCACCTTGTTGGCATGATTTGGGTCAACATGTCTTTTCATTTTTTCTCATTATTCTGACTGATCACTTTGATTCTGTGATAAAACCTTTCTATCCTGATGGGAGTGGTCTCTTCCAGGATGACCAAGCCCCCTATCACCGGGCATGATGGGTCACTGAAAGGTTTGCTGAGTATGAAAATCATTTTAGGCATGTGGCTGCAACACTGTTAACTGGTAAGTCCTGCCCTGAAATTTAATAAAGATTAAAAGCCTTTTTAAAAAATGTGCTCATATTATAATTAAATTCAACACCAGGTTTATTCATCTGGGAAATCAGATTAGTTTTAAACCAGGGCACAAAGTGTTCACACTAGGAAGTGATGCTTAAAGCTTATTATGCAAAGTTAAAGCCTAAATATCAAAAAGAAATACTCTCATCATAGGACCAACCTAGATTATAATAGGTGAGTGTAAATAAACAAAGTGATAAAATACATAATTGATTAATATGTTGGTTTTCTTTCGTTTATTTATCACACACCACCACCACGTCAGTGTCACTGCAGTGCTGAGAATGATCCACAACCTAAATAGTACCTGCTCTTTGAGGGTCCATGGGGGTCCTGACCATTGGAGAACAGGGCAAAAGGGGGCTAACAAAGCATGCCAAGAAACAGATGGACTACAGTCTGTAACTGAATTACAGTGTAATGAGTGTAGAAACAAGGCTTTAATGTTATGGCTGATCGATGTATAAAGTTATAAGTTGTCAGTAAGTTATCTTGAGGATCCTACTGTAAAGGGAATAATATAAGGCCATACTCTGGATGAAGAGTTCAAGCACTTGCTTACTCAGCCCCCTAGTGACCAGCACTCAGAACAGAGAGACAAGTCAGTACTTCAAGAACCATGACAAACCACGTTTCACTACAAAGCATAATCAGTCCTGTTTATTAGATTAAGTGCAGTGCAGTGTGTGAACCACTGAATACAAAGCACTGTATTCATCATTATTGACAGTATAAATGTGGCACAACTGGTGCCCTTTTGTCTGTACCAACTTATTAAACCTCAGAAATATTTGATTTCATGATGTGTATTGAATATTGAGAAAATGTCGAAGTATTGTGATATAACATTTTTCACATATCACAAACCCTAAAGAAAAGTACATAAAAATTACTTTATTTAATAAATATAAGTTGTAATATTTTGATATTTAAAATGAACGCTGCTCGGAATCAACTTTGCATCAAACAGCACAATTCTGACGGTCAAGCTGAAGTTCTCTCTCATTTTAAAGGGGAATTCCACTGTTTTTTTCAAAATGTCTCCATAATTCAGTGGTCATTTAGAGTCATTTAGAGTAATTTGATGTGAAATGCATAATGAAATTTAATCATGCATACATTTTGGAAAATCGGTGGAGTTCCCCTTTAATAAGAAACAGCAAAAAAAAATAATAATAATAATAATAAAAAATACAGAAAAAAGAAAAATGAAAGAAACAAACAAAATAGAAAAGAAATCATGGTACCTTGAAATATGCAAGACAAAATTAAATATCGAAATTATAGCTTTGGCTGCATGTGATATTTAAAAGTAGCACGTTATAATTGGTCAGAAATGTAACTGTATTATTAATGAGCAGACTTCAGATGGGTACTACAGAGTAAAGAGCACACAGAAAAATAAAAAAATCTAGTCAAATAATTATAAAACCTTAAAAATAGCGCTTAACAGAACGCGTCAGAGTTTAACAAAATAAAAGTCTTTTCACACGGCGATAACGGCGTGGTGAACGGGAATGTAAGGCGTGGATTGTCATTTTCTACATTTGTTAAATGTGTTATAGTTATTAATGAATGCATTAAATTAAGTTAATAAATAATTTAAAAGTCCTCTCTCGCACTTTTGGTGTCATTCTGTTGCAGCAGCTTTAGCAGAGCCCCCCACCGTTACTTTAAAACAGGACTGCTAAACAGCAGAGGGCGCCCGCGAGTGAGTCCTCAATGAATGGGAGTGAATGGAGCTCAACGGCTAAAAACGAAAAGTTAAAATAGTTTCTAATCACTGAACCAGAACTTTCCTTTAAGTTTAGAAAGTAGAAGGATGGATTTCACTAAAAAACAAAGAAAACTCACCTGTATGTTTCCTTTTTTCTACAGCAAACGGGTTTTGGGCAGCAGAAGGCGGGCATTACCGCTGGAGCGTGATGATTGATTGGCGAGCGGAGCAGCTCATTGGCTGTTCGCGGTCACTGACGTCATGAACGTACATGAGGCGCCGTTTTAAACTCCTATAACTCGAGTTTAAAAGCTCTTAAAAATATAACAGCAGTGTTAAAATGTTTTTTTGCAGTTCTGTGCTCAGGAAATGATCGCATTCTTTTACATTAAAAATGTTTAAGCATTTATCAACTATGATTTTGCTCAAATGCTCCATATCACCCCATTCATTTTGGACTCGCTCGGGAGCGCCCTCTAGCGTTTGAGAAACGTTGCACATTGCACATTGAAACATTGCACAGCGGTAATTCTCCTCTCTACACGTTCTCTGATAAAAGCAAAATTACAGCGGTCAACTCAACAAAGGCAGAACAGCCGCACAATTTGGACACCGCCCTATAAATATGTTCTTAATAACAAGTTAAAAGAACTGCTTTATAAAATATTGCATAGGTTCTACCCTGTCAGTGGTATGATGAGTAAATCCTTCGACATGAGTGACGCATGTACTTTTTGTAAAGGGGCTACAGAATCCACTGATTATTTTTTAATTGTGTATTTTCTTACGGAGCCCGGAGGGAACGGAGGTAAAAAAAAAAAAAATTAATTCGAGCGAAGGTTTTGCAGTTAGTACGCACGTTTTCCTTTATTCGTGGTCACGATTTCTTAAATCGTTCCATCGTTTTCTTTTAATCGTGCGCACGTTTTCTTTACTTCGTGGGTGCGTTTTTGTTTATTCGTGATTATGATTTTCTAATTCGTTCTCTCGTTTTCTTTTAATCGTTGTCATGCTTTATTTTTAACTGAATGAACGTTGTTTGTGATCACGAATAAAAAAAACGAACCCACGAAGTAAAGAAAACGTGCGCACGATTAAAAGAAAACGAGGGAACGATTTAAGAAATCGTGACCATGAATAAGAGAAAACGTGCGTGCGAACTACAAAACGTTCGCTCGAATTATTATTATTTTTTTTTTACATCCGTCCCCTCCGGGGCTCCGTATTCTCTTACTCGTTCTGGGTTGATCTCTTTTTTGACCTGAAGAGAAAGACTGGTAAAGAAATCCCCCTCAAAAGCCACTGTTTTATATCTTTTTGATGACCTTTTGTTGAACCCAAACAGTTTTATAATAAACCTGATCATAATAATAGCTCAACTTTATATACACAAGGTGAACTTCATACATCACGTTCGTACGCACAGATCTGTGTGATTACATTTCTACCTTAGTGAACTGGCACCAGCAGCAAAATAAGAAATATTGTAAATCCGCTGCTGTGTTAAAGCTTTTTCAATTTTATTTTAATCCCAATGGTATTGTTTTTTGTTTCTGTTTTTCTTTCTTCTTTATTTTTTTTTATTTTGTTTATTCTGGAATGTGAAGGCTGTAAGGCATCCTATATATATATATATATATATATATATATATATATATATATATATATATATATATATATATATATATATATATGGTTATATGCTGGAAATAAACAACAACCAAAAAAGTTCTCTGACAAAACCTGCAAAAGCCGGCGAGCGGTTAACAGAGCGCGTCACAGTTTGACAAAATAAAAGTCTTTTCACACGGCGATAACGGTGTGGTTAACCGGAAAGTAAAGCGTTCATTGTCATTTTCTACGCTTGTTAAACCTGTTAAAGCGATTAATTAACGCATTAAATTAATAAATGATTTAAAAGTCCTCTCTCGCGCTTTTGGTGTCATTCTGCTGGGGTGGCTTTAGAGCTCCACATATCCGGGTTACAGCTCTCATTGGCTGGCGCTTCCATATCCCACAAAGCACCGCGCTGCCTATTCCTTTTTCTTTTCGGCCATATTCCTCCCCGGACGGTACGTGTAGATTCCCTCCCGCATCGCCTACTTTATCCTTTTCAATCCTCTCCATGAGCGCGTAATACAGCGTTTCTGCCCGATCAGATGAGCAGTGCTGCTTGTTATCTATAAGAATGTGCCGCTATTGTCCATGTATGTTTTGTTAAATCTGTAAAATGAGGCTGGTTTTGAGGTGTGTGTAGTCTGTTAGCAGCGCGCATGTCTGCCCACAGAAAACGCCAGAGTGTGTAAATAAGCTGTTTTCTGCGTGTTAAATTGGCTGTTTAATCATGCCGGAAAAGTTTTAAGTGGTTTTGAAGTGGGTATTATTCGTGAAAGCGGCAAACTACGCTAGGTTTGTTGTGCTTGTGTAGGTAGCCGGTTCTGGCCCTTTGACTTGGCTTACAGTGTTGAGTACAGCTTGAGCAGCATTGATGTCACTTAACTCGATAAGGGCTCATGAAATATGGGTGTTTTAGGTTTATATTGGGTGTTTTTAGGGTTGTGATGGGTGTTTTAGGTTCGTGTTGGGTGTATTAGGTATATATTGGGTGTTTTAGGTGTGTGTTGGGTGTATACGGCATTATAGGTGATGAGAGTTAAGCATGATGATGTTCTGTGTTCATTAGTGATGTGTAATGTGTGAGCTGTGCTGTCTGTCCAACAGAAATTGACGTATCCTGTGTGTTTTTCAGGGAATAAGCAATCATGGCCCCCAGCCGGAATGGCATGATCTTGAACCCCCACTTCCATAAGGACTGGCAGAGGAGAGTTCGCACCTGGTTCAACCAGCCAGCCAGAAAACTCCGCAGGTGAGCCCAAAGGATGTGTGCTTGTCGTCTATGAATGCTGTGTGATGAGTTCTGTAGTTAGTTCTTATGTTGTCGCTTTTCTAAGAATTTGTTTTAACGGGGTTCGAGTCCTGTTTTTAATTGCCTTTTGCTGGCTCCCTGCAGACGCAAGGCTCGTCAGGCCAAGGCTCGCCGAATCGCTCCTCGCCCTGTCGCTGGACCACTGAGACCAGCGGTCAGGTGTCCGACGATAAGGTATCACAACAAGGTTCGCTCTGGACGTGGCTTCTCCCTGGAAGAGCTGAAGGTATGGCTGATTCTGTACACTTTAAAGGATTTGTGCAGTGTTCTTACCTTAGGTTGCAGGTGTTAGGGTCCAGGTGTAGGCGACAGGACAAAAACGTAATGCGGCTTTTCGAAAGACATCTGCGATACGCTGTGTATCGCGCCATGATATTTAGTTTTTCTGTTCAATGAGAGCGAGCACAAACCAAAAAAAGCCACAAGTGTCACTTCATCAATCAAAAATTAGTATAATGACTTACTGTGTGATCTGCATCCATTTAAATGTGTCTGTAATGGAACATGCAGTTGGTCAGTATTGCTGATCTCCACAATATGCTCAGAAAAGCATTTAAAATGTTTGTACATTAGCTCACATTTATTGCTAAGCCATACTGTGAGCTTTGATTATCTGGTTACAAATGTTTTCCCAAGATGTCTAATTTACTGTCTGGGTTGGCTGTTAATCTGTTTATTTGCTCAGATCTTCTATTGTGACGCAAATTTTATGAGGTAAAGACAGTTGAGGACTCACTTTAGAGAAGGGCTTTTTGATTGTAGGAATTATGATGAAAAAGGTTGATGACCAAAGATGTTTCTAGATAGTCAGATCTCTTGCTGTAAGTAAAAAATTGTAAGAGAAGGCCTGTATTTGGCCATTTTTTAGAATCAGGAATATAAATTATGAGGGGAATAAATGTCAGATTACTAGTGCTTAGTCATGAGTTTTTTTGGTTCATCGAATTAACAGTGATTGTAATATAAGCAATTCAGATCAACACTTCAGAGCAACAGTCAAATGATGACAACTTCTCCGGAATCTCTGTACATCTTTTGATGATACTCTTTGAACCCTTTTTGCTGATGACGGTTATGCTCTGAAGTTAATATTGCACTTATATGGACTATTTCTATTATATTAACTCAACATTTGCAATCAGGCCAAATAATTAAAGCTGACTTGTGATAATTCTTTCAGGCTGCTGGCATCAACAGGAAAGTAGCCCGCACCATTGGCATTGCTGTTGACCCTCGCCGACGCAACAGATCCACAGAGTCCCTGCAGGCCAATGTACAGAGGCTGAAGGAGTACCGCTCCAAACTCATCCTCTTCCCCAGGAAGGCCTCTGCGCCCAAGAAGGGAGACAGCACTGTAAGTAGTTTATCATGCTCTGTGTTACTGAATTGGCATCCCTGCAATTTTATGGTCTCTAGCTTTGTTTCACCTGACACATCAGAGTCATAGTGGCTGGAGTTTCTAACGTCCTCTTGTTAACACGTTTGCTGGTGCTGGTCAGACAGATTTCATAACGTTAACGTTTAACTGCAGCAGACAGATGACACTGCATCAGATTTATTGTACTGTAAATTAGATTAGAATCAGAATAGACTTAACATTTGTTCTCTGCTGAAAGGAATTGGGTTATTTTATTCAGATGTTGCTAATGCATCAGAACTTGTTTCACACAAGTGTTTTCATAAATGAAGGTGCGAACTAAGCCCTGTTGACCAGTACCAGCTGCTTTGCTACTGTCCCAGTCAAGTTCTGCTGTGTTAATGGAAACAAAGCATTAGTGTTCATGCTTATTGCTGGGTCCTACTCACACCAAGTTACAGGCTGTTGTGTATGTAGCAGTAAGCTATGAATAGCCAAACATTTGCTCTGTCTGATTTATAAAAGGTTTAAAACCTAGTTTGCAGTCAGATGATGACACTTTCTCCGGAATCTCTGCACATCCTTGATGATCCTCCTTTGAACCCTTTTCCAGCTGATGACTGCATTGATTTATTTATTTATTTTTAATAATTTCACTTCAAAATGGCACTCTTGCATTTCTGCTGACCTATTTTGAACTTTTCCAGGAGGAGGAGCTCAAGATGGCAACACAGCTCACTGGACCTATCATGCCCATTAAAAACGTATGTATTATTTAATGAAACATTCATGCAATCATGATGGAGGATTTCTGTGCATTATCAGTACATAATACTGATTTATTCATCAGTTTCTGATGGGCACAAATCTCACTCCTCTCTCTCTCTCTCTCTCTCTCTCTCTCTCTCGTGTGTCGCCCCCACAGGTCTACAAGAAAGAGAAGGCCCACGTGATCACGGAGGACGAGAAGAAATTCAAGGCTTTTGCCAGCCTGCGCATGGCCCGCGCCAATGCACGCCTCTTTGGCATCCGTGCCAAGAGGGCAAAGGAGGCCGCCGAGCAGGATGTAGAGAAGAAGAAATAAACGATTATTTGTATGAAACTCAGAATAAAGCCTTCCAAAATACTGTACTGTGTATTTATTTGAGAATGAAGAGGTTTGTCACCTGTGTGGTGCCAAATTGTGTTTAAGACAAATTAAACCAGCATTTAAAAGCATCAGTGCTTGTGCACTTTAGGTCTCAGATGGGTTATGTCCTTAAGTTTCTGGCCACTAGGTGGCAGCAAGTGGAAGAGGTTCACAGCTTAACTTTGCATGGTCTTCTCATTTTGCTTGATGGCTGGTTCTGTTTTTGTTTCGCCTTCTTTTCAGTAGCCTTGGTAGTATTTGAAAAGGAATTACATACTTTGTAGAGTGCGAGAGGCTGATTCCAAAGCTTTCAGCATCCGTTCAAGGTTCTGGAGGCGGAAAAAATAATTTGTGTTTAAAATGAATAGTACAACTGCAAATTCAGTGCATATTTTGTCAGCTTTCAATTTTTTACAATTTTTCTTGATAAAGTTTTAGTATTGCGTACACCGATCAGGCACAACATTATGACCACCTTGTTTCTGCCCTCATTTTCCATTTTATCAGCTCCACTTACTATATAGGTGCACTTTGTAGTTCTACAGTTACAGACTGTAGTCCATCTGTTTCACTGCATACTTTGTTAGCCCCCTTTTACCCTGTTCTTCAGTGGTTAGGACCCCCATGGACCCTCGCAGAGCAGGTACTATTTGGGTGGTGGATCATTCTCAGCACTGCAGTAACACTGATGTGGTGGTTGTGTGTTAGGGTGTTGTGCTGGTACGAGTAGATTAGACAGTGCTGCTGGAGTTTTTAAACACTGTCCACTCCATTAGACACTCGTACCTTGCCAGTCCACCTTGTAGATGTAAAGTCAGACGATGGCTCGTCTGCTGCTGCACAGTTTGTGTTGGTGGTCATCTAGTCCTTCATCAGTGGTCACAGGTCGCTGCCCGCTGGGATATTTTTAGTTGGTGGACTGTTCTCAGTCCAGCAGCGACACTGAAGTGTTTAAAAACTCCAGCAGCAGTGCTGTGTCTGATCCACTCAGACCAGCGCAACACACACTAACACACCACCACCACGTCAGTGTTACTGCAGTGCTGAGAATGACCCACCACCCAAATAGTACTTGCTCTGTGAGGGTCCATGGGGGTCCTGACCACTGAAGAACAGGGTAAAAGGGGGCTAACAAAGTATGCAGAGAAACAGATGGACTACAGTCTGTAACTGTAGAACTACAAAGTGCACCTATATAGTAAGTGGAGCTGATAAAATGGACAATGAGGGTCGAAACATGGAGGTGGTCATAATGTTATGCCTGATCGCTGTATGTGCGTCACACAAGTTCACATCTAATCTCACATGAAGCTGCAGGGTGTTTATATCAGATTGAAATAATGTTGTTAGGTTTCTGTCTTGAAATTTAGGTTTTTTTGGTCTTTGTTGATCAACAGCTGGATGGCAATTGGCAGTGGCTGTTTTCTGGACTGTAATAGACCATTTATCCTCAACAGATGAGGTTTTTGGTGTCATACCTGGGTGGAGGTTTGCTAAGCAGGGAGGAAAGTGGGTGTGTTATGCAAACATTACATCCCTGCTGCCCAGTCCTGTCTATTTGCAGCGAAGGAGTTCATGTATCCTGTATGTTGGAGAAATGAATGTAAGTAAAATAGCTGACTGGTGTTGCAAGAACACATTATTTTCAACCCCGCTAAACAGATGTCCTCTGTTTTGATGTACACAATGTCTTTGAGACGAATGTGTCCTCAAGGCTCATTAAATTTCATCGCTGAGACAGAACAGGGGATGAATTAAAATTATCTGGAGAACCTTTATTTTTAAATGTCACTGGATTCCTTCCAGAGTGTGTAGTGGACAAGAATGAGAGGAAGGATGGCTGCGAGAACTGCTCATTAATTTGCAGTGCAATCTGACCATAAAAGTAGCCAAAGTGGATTATTTGTTTATTCAGGAGTACATATAGGCACTGTACACAGTGGGCGGAGTCTTGAATCAACTAAGCTTTGTGATCTTTGCCTAAAAACCTACATGTAAATCAATGAGGCCAAGAATATCTGAACACAGAGGAGTGGGAGCTGGCTGAGAATTACATAGGAGGTTATGTAAGGAGTCCAAAGTGTGCTGTTTTTCATTGCTTTCATATTTAGAAATGGTTACATTAAACCATTCATACAAACGTTATGAATGACTACTACAATGTACTCTTTAAAAAGATGGATCTTCAAGGGTTCTTTAGTAAAGGGAATGGTTCTAGTTAGAACCACGAGTTCTATATAGAAGTATTTTGTGCTTAAATGGTTCTTTGCATGGTGAAATGGTCCTTCAGATTAACCTTTTATTCACCAGGGTATATTTTGGTTTTTCCATCTGAATTTACATGACCAAATCGTAAGGCATATTTTTCAGTAACTGCATGAAATAAATGTACATTTTTATTTGATTTATTTATTTAAAAAACTCTTCAAATTAACAGAACATGTGTTTTATGATCATACACATATTGCTATATGCTTACAATTTACTGCTGAAAGCCAAAAATCTTAGATGCTCTTTGTATTATTTTATAAAAGTAATTTTTACAGAGCAGATCACTGAAGAGACGTCATCTGTTTATAGTTTATAGCCCAGATTTGTGGAAAAATGGGTCGACTTTCAGTAGAAAAAAAAATTGTGAGTTCAGTTTCTTTTATTATAAGGGTTTAAAATGACATCACCCATCTATTTGACTGGAAAGAAGACAGTTACAGCTCTCATACGACCCCCACCTTTTGAATGTAGCTTATGAAATATGAAAGTTATGAAGAATATGAAGAAGTGCGTTCCAAGGAGCATAAGAGGCTACTGGTGAATGTGTTATATATAGTTGCATGTAGAACCTTTTCGAAAATGGTTCTTTATAGCCTCAACAACCTTCCTCTGTTGTTATAAACTTGACATTGTAACAGTAGAGCAACGCTTTTTGGTAGTGCACTCTTAAAAATGATGGTTCTTCAAGGGTTCTGTAAGAAAGAATGTGGTTCTGTATAGAACCATGAACACTCAAAGAACCATTTGCATGGTTAAAGGGTTCTTCCGATTGGTTGTGAATGTGTTGTACATGGTTGCATGTAGAACCTTTTTGAAAATGGTTCTATAAAGCACCAAAAAGTGTTGTTCTGTTGTTACAAACTTGACATTGTAACCTAAGAAGAACCCTTTTTGGTGCTACACTCTTAAAAAAGACTGTTTTTTAAGGGTTCTTTAGTAAAGACTGTGGTTCTATATAGAACCATTAACACTCAAAGAACCATTTGCATGCTTAAAGGGTTCTTGGCATCATGAAATGGTATGTCAGATTGATGGAGAATGTGTTGTATACGTGTATACAACAAAAAATGTGTTCTATTGGTGCTACACAAAAAAACTGTGGTTCTATATAGAACTGTGAACTCTCAAGGGACCATTTGCATGCTTGAAAGGTTCTTTTTGTGGTGAAATGGCACATCAGATTGATGGAGAAATCTTGTATATGGTTCATTGTAGCTATAGAACCTTTTTGAAAAGGGTTCTATTGCTACAATGTCAAGTTTGTAAAAATAGAACAACTCTTAGGTGCTATGTAGAACCCTTTTCAAAAGAAGGTTCTATACAGCACAATATAAAACACATTCTCCATCAAGCTGGAGAACCATTTCACCATGCAGAGAACATTTAAGCATGAAATGGTTCTATATACCCATTCTGTTTACTATAGAACCCTTGAAGAACCATCTTTTTGAAGAGTGTATATTTGAACACTGCTATTTAATACAGTGGGTCATATGGGTTCATATGACTTTAGTACAAGTGTCTATGTTTATGTACTGTAATTCTATAGCTCATATAGTGCCTTTCCTTTAGGAACTGCTGTCTGACTTTCAGAATCCCTTTGAGCTGAATGAGCTTTCTAATAATTGGACCTGGAGTTTTGTCTTCTCGACAGATTAAGCAGTGAATATACTCTTAACTGGCTGAATGATGGCATGGCTGTAGGGCTGTATGTGTTGGGCTTGGCTGTCCCTGCGGCAGCAGATGGCAGTGGTCCAGGGCTGCTCGGTGCTGGAGCTCAGGTGGAGCCCTCGGAGCCCTGCTGCTCCTCGCACTCGCGGAATCCCCCTGTGGGCTCTGCGGCTTCCAGTGGGAGGTGAGACATGATGGCAGCGAGGCTTCTGTTTGATCAGTCCATTGGATGGGAAGTATGTACAGAATGGAGTCTTAGATCTTTAAGCTTGAATAACCCCATATCCTACATTTGTCCTCTTAATTCTTCACTTATCGCTGTTGTCGAAAGAAAACCTTGTATCTCCAAAATGGTAACTTTACAGGAGAAGGAAAAAACCTGCTTTACTTTTAATGTAAGTCAGTGGAACCAGACTTTTTCCCAAGTCATTTTAGGCCATTTCTTTTGGTCCGTTCATCATAAAATTTACACACAGTGTAAAGAACAACAAGCATTTTCAAATTATGTCAAGAACTGCAAAACGACAAAAATGGTTTTCTTTCGACAGCAGTGTTATGATGTTT